AAACGCTTGAGCCGGCTTACCCCAGCACCTCACAGCCCTCTCGTGAGGGGGTTATCATGTCCGTGTTGCAGATCTAGGAAACCGAGCTTGGGGGGCTCTGTGGCTGGAACTGCTCCAGCGGGAAGTGAACCCTGATGGAGCCGCGCCCTTCCAGGCACAAGCTGGGCCGATCAACGATCCCGCGCCCGTGCAGGCCGGGCTCCAAGAGGCCCCTCACCCCCGCACCCAAACACAAACAAAGGCTCCTCCCTCCCCCAGGAATTTTTGTTGTGGTTTTACTCTCCTGGAAGACAGCCAAAGAAAGGGGAACCTAGACCCGCCCGGCTCCCAGCCCCAGCACAGTGACATCAGCCCTGGGAACCATGAACTGCTCTCAGCCAGGAATGCAGTCTGAACTCTGCCTTTTCTGAGAAAGCTTGGACAACAGCCCCTTGACAGCCGGCCCCCGCTGCCTCTTTCCCAGACTTCCCTCAGAAATAGGTTAAAACAACATTTGGTGCCTCTGCTTTGCCCCTTCACGCCTATTCCTGAGATAATACCAGGATGTTTATTGTTCTCATAGAGAAAAAAAGACATAGCCATGTAGACCAGTGTTTTTATGATAAAATCTAAGTGTCTTCCAGCAGCCCCGCAGGCCCTCTGTGATCCGCTGGCTTCCCGGCTCACCTCCTTGTTCTCTCTGCCCTGCTTCTACTACTGGGTTGGGTTTCCTGAATCTCGAGGCCAGAAGCACTCCTACCTCAGGGCCTTTGCAACTGTGGTTCCCCTGACTTCCCGGAATGTTCTGTCCCCAGGTTCCCAGTACTCCCTCTTGTCATGTCACTCCTCTGAGCTCAGCCAGCCACATGGCTGGAGCTGGTCCTCCCCTACAGATACTCTGCCACAGACCCCTGATGGGGGCTTCTCACAGCACACAGCAGGATGGCTTCTGGAACCACCTTGTTCACCGGTCAGTTATGCACGGTCATCTGTCTCCATTCACTGGACACAGACTCACGCAAGCGAGTCTGAGTGCACTATGCCCTCTGTAGCTACACGTGGGCCTGGCTCATCACAGGTGTTTTTAAAAGGATGGGAGGAAGGGAAGAAGGGGGTGAGGGAGGCCCCTGGAGAAAGATCTTAGGCAGCAATGCGCTGGAATGCACTAGAACCATGAATAGGACGTCCCCTGCAGAGGGACCCACAGCACACGGCAAATGCCCCCGAGTGTCAGACATCTAACAAACAGCCCAGGCCTAGGACTTTGACTTGAGGGGTTTTCTGGGGCACCCCGCAGACCAAGAAGGCGTGTATCCACTGTGGGGTTTCCCACGCAACCTGGCCGCAACGGAACCCAGGTTCCAGGCGAGCCTGAGAGCCCTGGTGAACCTTGCCCAAGCCAACACGGGCTCCCTAGAACCAACGAACAATCACAGTGCGCTTTCGAAGGTGACCTGCAGGTGAGTTCTGCCAGCCCCCGAGGGCGCACTCACGGTAGGCGGCAGCCACGCTTTGCCCAGGACACAAGCTGCCAGCGGCAAGAACAAGCCCCCGATCACGGGCTCCGACAGAACCCCGTGACTCTGCTGGATACGGGCTGACACTCTGGCCTCGCAGACCAGGAAACAGATGGACCCGTGTTACCCCTGCGCCTCACATAACCAAGATCGCCCTGCTGGTAAGTGGCAGAGCTGGGATTCGAACCCCAAGTCTGACCTGCACATCTCTGCTGCTCTGTGTCTTTGCTCTGAAGAGTGGCAGTCGGGCCTCTCTGCCTGCGACTCGCTCACAACCACTGGGGACCTGTGCTCCTCTGGTCCCTGGGCATGGCCCCAGGGTACGCATCCAGCATGGGTGCCAGACGCGCAGGAGGGTGTATGAGCCGGGGTGGGCTCTGCCAGCTCCTCCTCAGGACAGAGCTGACCTCGGTACTTTTAATATTCTCCCTCTGGCCTCCAATCCAGCCTGATGCTCCAAGTTCATCTCTGTCTCAGGCCCTGCCCGCCCCCCCCAGGCCCCCACACTGTTATCTCTTAGAGGACAGGGTCGAGAACATGGGTGGGAGGAAAGGCACCCAAGAACCTGCAGCCACAGAGCCGCCTTGTCCGCGCACAGATTTTCATTTGTTTAACCCAACAAGCCAGCTCCCAGTGACCCCTCTTCAGGCCCGCAGCCCTGGGGAGGGGGCAGAGGAGACCCCAGGCTCTGGAGATGCAGCCTCCTGTTCCGTTTCGGGGAGTGGCCCTGGCCTGAGAGATTCTACAAACGGAAAATGGCTTACAAGCCACCAGACTGCCGTGGGAAAGAATACGTTTCCTATGAATGCAAGAGCTTCCTTAGGACACATCACTTACCATCACTCCCTGAATACAACTGTTCAGGAAGAGGGGTGTTATTTGTGCGTGGGAGGGTCCCTCTCCGCCTGCCCTCTGCCACCCTGAGCAGCAGGGGACGTGTCCTCTGCTCACCTGGACGTCAGAATGGACAGAGGTTAGGAAGTGGACCCTGATCACTGGGCAGGGCAGGGCAATTCCCCCAGCTCTCGGACCAACTGCGTGGCAGGAAGACACAGTGGGTAACCAGCGGGGTTTGATCAAAAGGTCTGGGCATGAGCTGGAGTCCTGGTGATGGGGTGGGTGAGGTCTGACCACGGCCCTCTGTCTCTTTCCTCCACCCCAGGGGCGGCACAGTCAAGAGGGGAGCTCCTGGCCGGCTGCCTGTGGTGGGCAGTAGGGCCCCCACTGGCCCTGAGTTGTGATCAGGGCTGCAGGCTGGGCCCCTCCCAGCTCAGGCCCCAAGTCCAAGGTTTCCATTTACCCCTCAATCCTCTCCTTGCCCCAAAGCTGGACATTCATGCTGCTACTTTGGGATTCCCTTTTCCCCAAGCTGCAGGGGCAGCTCCTCCCAGCCCAGAGGGTGGGCCACAGAAAGGCCCAGTATCTCTATCTGCAAATACCCACAGGAAGCCTTATGATAAGAGGTATTTTCTTTTAAATATCCTCAGAGGACAGGTCTTAGACCAGGAAGTGGGAATTACGTGGAGGAAGGTTTGCCCCAGCAGCAGGCAGGCTCCCTGCTGCAGACCTCTGGGTCGCAAGATGCCTCCCATGGAGGGGACTGGTAGGGACACTGTGAGACAAGTCAGTCAACCCGAGGCTCACTGTGGGGGCTACAGAACAGAGGAGGGCTGGCGGCGCCAGGAGGGTCTCACTTGGCCCCAGAGGGGCTGGGGGCCAAGTTGGGCACTCACCTCGATACAGGGCACAGAGCTCAGAAGCTGGCTGCCTAGGTAGTTGGGTGAAGGAGGACCCCCCGCCCCATTCTGGGGGAGAGGGACTGCCCAGACCCTTCCTGCTCAGATGTTCTCAAATATTCTCACTCTCAAAAATAGTTTCCTGAAACTTACAACTGGTATTTTTAAGGGACCTTACAAATTTTCTGAGGATCAAAATTTCAGAGGATCAAAGGTTTTGTGAAGGGACTTTGGGCAAGGAAGTGCTGCATTTCTTCCAACAGGGGGACCGCATCTTCCAGTCAAGACTGCTCAGCGGGGAGGGATGTACTCAGGCCCCTTCCAGCCAGAGCTCCAGGCACAGTGCACCCCAGCCGTTCCTGCACAGGACATCTGGGCAAATACTGTCCTTCACATGGCAACGTCTTCAGGTTCCGATGTGAGTCCCTCTTGGTGTCCTAGCCCCTCCAAACATCTGAGCAGTTTCAGAAACTACCCTGTGATTCCTGGCCCAGCCCCAACTTCCTCCAGAGAGTGAGCAAGCTGGTGGGTAAACAGCAGCCTTCCCCGGCCTGGACTCCAGTGGGTAAATTCCAGGGGCCTCCAGGCAGCTGAGGCAGAACGGCCTGAGCTGTGGGCAGCCCCGTCCTCTGCCCACAGGTCCCTCTCCAAGGCCCCTTGTTTGTTTACATGAGTCTGAAAGCCCTGGGGAGAGCAGGCCAGTCAGACCCAAGTCAGGACAGCTTTACTCCTTAGCGTGAAATGCGAAAGTCCTCAAGTCCACACGGGACTACTAGCTTTTCTGAGAATCCAGAAGAAGGCAGGATGTCTGGGCAAAACCGTGTTGCTTTCTGACATCCATATCCCAACCGTGGGTGCTGAGCGGCTGGAGGGCAGGGCTGGGCCCACTGGGCTCCGAATGCATGGCAGGTATCGGGAAGGCGCATCGCCCTGGGACAGCAGAGGGGCCACAGAGCAGGCAGGCACCCAGGAAGGGCCCAGGGCTCCCCTCCAGCGGGCTCTTCTCCAGACAGCAGCTGCGCGGGCAGGGTCTCTGGCTGTGGGTGAGGCACGGCAGCGGCGGAGCGTCTGGGTCCCAAGGAGCCTCCCGCGGAGGTGACCGCTGGGGACCTTGTGAGACAATCAGTGACCCCAGGCCCCTAGCCCACCGTGGGGGCTACAGAATAGGAGTGGGCTGGCGGCACCAGGAGGGTTTCACTTGGGCCTGGCATGGCTGGGGGCCAGGCTGGGCAGTCACCTGGATGCGGGCGCAGAGTGCAGCGGATGGGGGGTGTGGGGGGGGGGCTGTTGCCAAGGTGGGGCCAGCCGATGACGCCTCAGCCCCTGACTTCCCTTCGACCCAGGACAAACCACCACAGGTGCTGGCTCAGTGCCCTCAGGGGCCACAGTACACTAACTGGGGGCTGCCGGCATGGTGGGAAGGTCTGGGGGGGCGTCACTCCCGCGGCCCAGGGTGAGAGCTGAAGGCACAGGGCTGGTGCCTCCCGGCCTCTGCCGTCAGTGAGCTCTGGCCCCCGTGGCGCGTGTCTGATGCTTGGGGCTCCGGGGGCATCTTCCCAGCAGTGGCAGGAAACAGGTGCCCAGTCCCTGCTGTCCGTCTGCTGTTCCAACAAACACTGCCATTCAGATCCTGCCCCTAGGTCGTCTCTCCTGCACAAGCCCAGGCTTCCCGAGGGTCTGGGCTGGGGGACAGCAGGTAGGGATGCAATGAGAGAGCCCTGGAACCCCCTTGCTCCAGGCTGCTCTACCCCTGGGTGCTGGAACCTCAGTTCTGGTCACAAGGGTTTCTGCCCCCAGCCTGGTGCCACCAGAGGAGGGGCACCCCACTGTCCTCTCAGCCCCAACCCAGGCCAGGCTTCATTTCTCCGTGACGGTCATGGGCAAGGAGGCCTCCTTTCCTTCCTCTTCCACCGAGAACATGACGTCCCCGCAGCTGCCCAGAGGCGGCTCCGTCTCCTGCTCTGGGAAGCGGGGGGCGTGGTCCACTTCCAGATCCTCCTCGAACTCAGGCCCTGCCGGCCCCACCAGACCCCGGCCCTCAGGCACCTCAGTCCTCACAGTCCCCACAATCACTGTGTCAGCCTTCATGATGTAGATCTTCTCTGCAAGGCAAAAGGAAGGGTGAAGTGAGGGGACCGGGGCCCTAGCTGGACAGGGCGAGGAGGCAGGGGACGGTTCAAGTTCCAGCTCTGTCTCTCCTGTATGCGGCTTCGGGCCCGCGACCCAGTCTCTCTGATGCACAGTCGGTCCCATCAACCTCACAGGTGTCCTGAGGCTCAAAGGACATAAAACAGCTAGAAACTGTGTGCTAGAGTGAAGGACTGGCCCGCTTGTGGGAGAGGCTCATGACCTTCTTAGCATTTAGGAGGGGATGGGATAGGGAAGGAGAGAGCCGCACTGGGACAGAAAATGAGCCCTGGGCAGAGAAGGGGGCGACTGCAGCCCCACTGAGCAGCAGAGGCGGACAGCCATGCTGGCCACTGTCCAGACCCTTCCACACACGACTCCCGAGTCCTCACATCACTGCCACACAGTGGGCAGTCTGTTCTTGTCCCCGTGGACAGATATAAAGAAACTGAAGCCCTGAAAGGTTAAATGACTGGCCCAAAGTCACCAGGCAGTTAGTAGAACTCTCAGCAGAAACTCCCACCCGACTGGCTACCCTTTCCACTCCCGTTCGCGAGTCTACATCAGAAACCTGGGGGGGCCAACGTGTTCTGGTTGGCCTGGGCTGCTCCCGGTTTTCGTAGTGAAAGACCTTTTCAGTTCAGGTAAACCCAGACAGTTGATGACAGTCTAAGGAAGCTCAGGCCTGTTAATAATGAATAGCAGCCTGTGAGGCTTTGCTCGGGGCCGGATTTCAGTGTTTATTACTCATGGCCCGTCTCCCGCCTTCACGGCTGGGCCTGGCCGCTGCATGGTAGGGCTGCCTGTGCATGCCGCTTGGATGAATCGTGGCTCCTGAGAGGCAGGACCCTCTGCGGTCCTCACCATCATCTGCTGGGGGTGGGGAGGGGCACTTCAGAGGCTCAGGGGAGTTAAGGAAGCTGTCCAAGAAGCTGGGAAGGGAGGAGCCTGGCCTACACTCAGCCTAGCTTCTCTGATGGCCTTGAGCTCGGGGCAGGGTCCCAGCTCCAGCAGCTTGGCCCTGGGACTCTCTCTGGAGTCTCAAGAGGGAACTTGACAGCGGGGGTGGAGCAGGGGGCTCCTGACCTGCCTCTCTGGGTCACCCAGTTACGCCCCTCTGATCCAGGAGCTCTCCAAAGATCCCTGGGGGCCTTGTACTGGCCACCCCATTGCATCAAGCTAGTCCTTCTGTTTTGGCTTTTCACACCTCCAGGAAAGAGGGAAGTGTTCAAAATAGCAGCGAGGACTAGAGGAAAGCTGCGAGTGTCACAAGCTGTGGGTTGGGTGCCCCTCACACACCCCCAAAGAGAGAGCAGGGCCCCAGGCCCCGGCCAACACCCTCCACCGAGGCCTGTGGGCCCTTTGCTCCGGGAGCCTGTGCAGAGGGCCTAGGAGGAGCGGGAGCCAGAGGGGGTGAGAGAGAAGGGACCGTGGGGAACACGAGAGGGCCTGGAGCAGCCAGACAGGGCTAGAAGAGAAGACGAGGCATAGGGAACAGGGTGGGAGAGAGATGGAGGTGGGTTTGTCCGAAGAAGCCGAAGCCAGGGGCCAGGCTCTTCCCCCCTCACATTCCGCGGGTCCTGATTGCTCCAACTCTATCCGTCATCACCTGCCCCGCCCCCCAAGCTGGGAACGGAAAGGAGGGTCTTTCAGGGGCTGCTCGAACCTTCTATACCACCCAGGGCTCTAGAATCCAGGGAAGTTATCTTAGTGGGCTGGAAGGTGAAGGGGCTCCCCCTGCCTGGTGCCCAGGGGCAGAGGGATAAAGCTCGGGCTGCAGTTTGGTCCCCCCTGGGGTACTAGACGGGTTCTGTGGGGCATGGGGTGCTCCTCGGGGATGGTGTCAGAAGGATGAAAGGCTCCCGAGCAAACCTCCAAGGGCCTCTCTCCCAACCACCCCGCTCACCAGCAAGGCTAACAGGCGGTTGGAGCGGGCTGCCCACACCCCAACCGTCCTGGGAGCCCGGTACGTCCCTCCACCTGCCCCCCGAAGCTCCGGGGGCACTGCACTCAGCACAGATCCAAACGTTCAAGTTAAGACTTCTTAGGAAATTTAAGGAGATGCCTGGGGTGGTATAACCCCGAATAACACTCTTCTTAAAACTTGCTGAAAGCTACAGCGCCAAAAGTTTTGGTTTCGTATGAAAGACCCTGCCCCAAAGAGTTCTACCCACCACTGCCTGCTGTAGAAATGTGTAGAATGATTACAGATGCCTCTCTGGTATTATCCCGGCAATGCTTAACCCTCCAGAGAAGACAGGGATGGAGCTCACTAAGGCCCTGCCCTCAGGGAGCTCACAGCCAGATGGGAGAGAGGCAGGGGGGCGGTGGCGCAGAGGCCACAAACCCAGTCATACTGCTGGGGGCTGAGGATACTGGGTCTGGAGGTCCGGGGTCTGAGGGAGCACAACAGAGGGGCATTGCTTTAGACAGGAGACTGGAGAGGGCCAGGAAGACTTCCTGGAGGAGGAGGCAAATAAGCAGGGGTTTCAGGACCTCAGGAATTGACTAGATTCAAAGCGGGAGTTGGCGGTCCCAGGTGAGGAGGCAGCTCCCACAGAGAAGCTCTGAAGGGAGAGAGGGCTCTGTGAGCTCTGGAAACTGCCAGTGAGTGGGCAAAGCAGGCTGGAGGGTTCAGGAGGCAGGGGAGTCTGGTCGGTGGAGGCAGCTCGTGAGCAGTGACCAATATGAATGCCGGAATAAGAGTGCATCTGGGATTCATCCTGACAGCGACAGGAGCATTGAAGTGGGGGCAGAATGGACAGGCATGTATTTCGGTAGAAACACTCTGCTGTACCAGGGTGGAGAGAAGCCGGAGAGGAGGCAGGGAGACCCTTGGGAGGCCAAAGCGGAAGGCCTGCCTCGGGTGGGGGGCGGCCGCGGCTCCGGAAGGGCTGGTCTCCGCAAAGGCCTGCGCCGGGGTGGGCCAGCCAAGGGGTTCAGAGCCCCGCAGGTGTGGGATGGGGCCAGGTTCCTGCTCTGCCACCCCGAAGCTGGGTGACACAGACAATCTCCCGCACCCACCTGACAGTGCCCTTGCCCCGGGTGTGAAAAGAAGAGGCAGGCGCTGTCCTCAGAAGGCCACGTGAAACGAGAGAGGACTTCCGTCCAGACAAGTGGCCGGTCTTGTTGTCACTGGAATGTCTCCTCCTGTCCCCGCAAAGGGCTCTTTGCTGGGGGTGGGGGAGGCATTCGCGGCTCACTTCAAAGTTGGCAGGCCCCCCCAGGCAGGGGGGAGCCCCTCTCCCCGACCTTCACCCGCCAACACAACTTCACAAGCGCCCGCAATGGCCCTGTGAGGGCGGGATCACTACTACACCCATTTTACAGAAAGTTAAACTGGGCTGCCGAGATGGAATAGGCTTTAAGTCTCTCACGAGAAGCTGTTCCTACTTGCGAGGGCGGGCAGGGGAACCCACCCCCTTCCTCACCGGGCCTTCCTGCCCCAGGGTCTCTGGGTCCCATCGGGGGCCCAGGGTCCAGTGCCCCGCTCCCCCTGCTCCCTCAGCCCTGAGCACACAGGGACCCCCCAAATCGGCAGACTCACCGATCCTGTTGTTGGTATGCTCCGAGGTCACCCGGGGGGGCTCGGGGAGGTCCCTGGGGGACGAGGGGCTCCCGGCGGGAGGGCTAGCTTCCAGCAGCCGTATGCTCTCTCGGCAGACTGCCCCGCCGGGGGAGGTCTCCGCAGCCGGGGTGCTCAGCAAGCCCAGCTCTTCCATGCCCAACTCCACCACCGACACACTCTTCAGCTGCTATGGGCACAGAGGGGGTGGAGTTGACAAAGGGTGCCCCCAACCGCCCTGGGAAGCCCCCGTTTCTTCACCTCTAGACTCCAGTGAGTCTCCCTCTCTGCCTGAAGGTTGCCACACACCACCCACGGCTTCTCGGCGTGGAGAGCCTGGTGCCCTGTGCTGAGTTTCAGAAGTCCTGTTGCTTTTTACTCCTACTAAATAACCAGAGCAGCCAGCATCCCCTACAGCGCTCACCGCGTGTGTGGCCTCCACACGTGTGAATCCTCATGACCGCCCTGTAAAGTGGCTAATATCAGCACCCTCCCATTTCACAGGCCAGGAAACTGAGACCCAGAGGAGTCAAGGAACTCGCTCAAGTAAGTGTGCGGGCCAGCACTCGAACCCCGGCACCTTGCTCTGGAATCCATGCTTATCAGCCTGTCTGGGTAAGTGTGCGCTCCAGGCCCACCACAACTGCCCAGCCCTGACCTCCTGGGACGGCGATCGGTTATGATGACACTAATGTGTTCTAAAACCAGCTGTGTCTTCAGTCAAACAGTGCTTTCATTTTTGACTTTCATAGGTAAGTATAAAGGCAGAGTGGTCTCATGGAATGTTCTAACGCACAATATGTACCTTCAGCCTTCAAAATGGAATAGGTTCGAGTGATTCACAAAATATAGCCTCACAGCCATGACTATCCTTTCACAATCATCTGAAGTCCAAAAGATGGCATTTTAAACAAGTTTCTATGAAAATACGGACTCATGATAATCAAACAATGTTTGATTATCTCACCAATCATTAAATGCCCTTTTCATCAAATTTCCTGGTATTGTAACAGCCACTTATCTGACCCAAGCATATTTGTGAATGTGACCTCCCGTAATTTGAAACTGAACTCATATTGTGGTTCTGGCTGTTATATTAAGAAATTAAAGGACGGAAACCTTTCTCCATGTATGAATGTCTGAGTTGAAAGAAAGTCACGGAAAAATTGATAAATGGAAAAAACAATGGGTGAACCACACACAGCTGAGACGCAGCCATATGGAGTGTTTGTCTTACCCCATCCCTCAGCCCCGGAGGGCAACACCCCTTCTCTTACCACCCCCCCCCCACCCAGCGCGCTCCTGGAGGCTGGACCCAGAGCAGGGCACCCAGCCCAGCCTACTGAGGGCCAGGTGCCTAGGCCCCTCTCTGGTAACTATCAGTTACCAGCAAAGCCCCTGGCCCGGCACCTGCCCACAGCAGCAAGCTCTTTGTCAAAGGCAGGTGAAGAGGTCCTTCCAGCTCAGGGCAACAGGGCAGGGTACCAGCTTTGAAGCCCCACAAACCAGGGTTCAAGTCAAACCAGGGCTTGCTGATCTATTTTCCAATCGTGAATCCAGCTCTCCCGTCCGCGCCTAGGTTCCTTCTTTTGTAAAATGAACGACAGTACCAACCTTCGAGTGCCGTCAGGACCACCCGCGATAACTCTGAGGAGCACAGAGCAAGGTGCCTGCCTCATGGAAAGTGGTCCACACAGGATGGCTACATGTTCACACTTTTTTTTTTTTTTTTTTTTGAGAAAGTGAGAAAGAGAGCATGTGCAGGAGAGGAGGGGCAGAGGAAAAGACAGAGAGAGAATCTGGAGAAGGCTCCATGCTCCGCGTGGAGCTCAAGGTGGGGTTCGATCTCACAACCTGAAATCCCTCACAACCCTGAAAACCCTGACCTGAACTGAAACCAAGAGTTGGACGCTTCACCGACTGAGCCACCCAGACACCCCTGTGATAGCTGAGTTTTCAAAGAATCATGTTATGGATTTGTTTTCCCAGTGGAGTGAAGGAGAAAAGGGAAATGACCCCACCTGGCACCCAAGTAGCCCAAACCAAATCCATGGTCTGCCAGACCCTTCTGGAAGTCCCCGGCAGGATGAGCCAGGAGCCAGAGACTACTGAGGGGGTGGGGCTCCCCATCTGTGCTCAGAACACACCCCGTGGAGCAGACCCAGCCTGAACTTGCAGGGGGAGCCCACACCCCCATCACCGTGGGAGGGGAGGGACCCACCAGCAGCTCTTAGAACCAGGGGAGCAGTCCGATTTAGGGGCACAAAAGCGAGGGAGGCAGGGTGACAAAGGGCTACTTACTGTCGGGTTCCTCCCAGGCCTGGAATCTGCAAAAAAGAAAAAGAGTAGTGACGTCACCAAGGAGGGTCTGGCAGCTGCCTGGTCTGCCCAGCCCACGTATGGGAGGCAGTGACACCTGTCAGACACTCAGGCTGGATGACAGGGGACAGTTACAGAACCCTCGCCCATGCCTAGACAAAGAGGCTCACTTCCCAGCGCTCGCCTCAGCAGTGGCTGTGGGAGAACTGGTAACCACCTCTCCCCCAGCCACAAAGCCAACCAGGGCACTGGACTCCTTCTCCAGTCCCCCGCCCCACTCAGGTACAGGAGAAGTTCGGGAGCGGCACACACCACAGCTGGAGCCAAGGAGGCGGCCTCTGCTGCCTCAGAAGTTGGTTTGGGGCAGGCCCCACTCCCTTGCAGCCCCCAGGGTCTAGAGAACCCAGAACTCCCTGGAGCGCCATGCAAAGTTCCCACAGAGGACCTCAAGCCTGGGTGGGGGCAGATGACTCATCCTGAGGACCTTTGCTAAAACCCACACTGGACACACCCAGAGTCAGTCGACCCTGAAGGCCTTTGGTGGGAGATCTGTTTTTTATTACACGTGCCAGAAAGATCTCGTGTGACCACCTTCGAGGAGGACAGCGGCTCGTCACCATCCCATCGCCTACCATCCCTCCTCCGCGGGGCTCTGGAGGGGCTGATTCACTGATTCTTGGGCTACAACTTTATCTTCTCATCCCAAACCCCCACCATCCACACCAGCACTTCTCTCATATCAAATATGGGGTCAGGTCACGGCCAAGCATAGGTTGACATTTACCCATGGCCCATTGGCCACCTGACAAGGCAGGAGATTCGGCGCCCAGGAACCTGGTCTACACTGGGCAAATCAGCTCCTGGCGTAGACCATCGTCTGGGGATACACAGCCCTTGAGGAGTCCTGAGGAGGCCCTCTTGGAGCCTTGGAAGTGTTGTTCCAAGCTGCTGTTAGGCGTGCATACCTGACCAGAGAAATCTGCTCTGGAAATGCCAGTGAGCTGCATCATCTCCAGAACATTCTGACCTCAGCAGCTCTGGGAACCATCAGCCCTGATCCTAGCTGAAACGCTCACTGGAGGCCAACCAACTAGGATACTACTAGTAAGACAAGAGGTTTGAACGTGCTGTGTAGACACTAGGTCAGTTGGGGATGTGCTTCTAAGTGACTATCAGCATGTAAAATGTGTCTAATGTCTAAAGAGGAAATGAACCAGAATGATGGTCAAAAGAAGAACATGTATGAAATGACACAGTTTTGGATTCTTTCCTCTTCTTCTTAATTTTTTTTTTTTTTTAAGAGAGAGAGACAGTGAGAGTGTGGGGGTTGGGAGAGAGGGAGAGAGAAAATCTCTCTTAAGCAGGCTCCATGCCCAGCACAGAGCCCGACACAGGGCTGGATCTCAGTCTTGAGTTCATGACCTGAGCTGAAATCAGGAGTTGGATGCTTGACCATCAGAGCCACCCAGGTACCCCACCTGGAGTCTTGATTTAACAAATGTTAAAGTTTCCTTTGTCTGGTAACTGATGTTCCCAGCAGAGTGGTCATCTTGGGAGAATATGGTTCATTCCCGCTGGGTGGCCCCTGTTACCCAAGCTATCCCTTTGAGAAATGCTCTCTGGCCTGAGGCACATTCTTTTAAATGATGTCAGTGAAGTCTAATTTTTGCCCTTTGAGAGTAATGTTGACTTTTGCAAATAGCCAGCTGTGGTTTAGGTGGTCAGGGGGAAAGAGTGTGACAAAGTAACAAGATAAAATAAAATAAATAAAAGTGATAAAACTCAGTCTTGGAAAGGATGTGGGTAAAAAGAAACACCATGGCTCATGCCCTGTGAACTGGTTCCATGTTTCTCAAGAGCCATCTGGCAGTGAAAACCTCATACTCTTTGACCTAGTAAATCCCGCTTCAGGGACACACCCTCAGGAAATAACCCAAGAGGAAACAACAAGGCTGTCCGCAGAGGTGGTAGTTATAATCAAAAAACTGAAAGCAAGCCAGATGCCAAACAATGAGTCTTGAAGCAGAGCCCTTCCTAGCAAGGAAGCCCCAACACAACATCTCTCCACCTTCCTAGCTTTACTTCTCGTGTCTGGAAAACGGGACACAGCATGCCAAGTCTGGAGGGTTTTTATGAAGATGAAATGAGACCCAAAACGTGAAGGTACCCAGTGATCAGTCCCACTGAGAGCACACGCCTTGACATGATGTGGTAAGAACAATCCTGTGCCCGTGTGGTCTTCCTCCCCCAAACCTGCCACCCCACTGTCACCAGGAAGAAAATATTAGACAAATTCCTATCAAGGGGCATCCTGCACATAACTGGCCAGCAGGCCTCAAAACTGTGAAGGTTGGAGCCTTGGTGGCTCAGTCATTAAGCATCTGCCTTCGGCTCAGGTCATGATCCCAGGGTCCTGGGATTGAGCCCCGCATCAGGCTCCCTGCTCAGCGCGGAGCCTGCTTCTCTCTCTCTCTCTCTCTCTCTCTCTGCCTCGTCCCCTCCCCCCAGCTCATGCACACACGCACACTCTCTCTCTCAAATAAATAAACAAAATCTAAAAAAAAAAAAAAAAGAGTCTCTTACACACACACACAAAACACCTAAGTAACCCTAGAGTGTGGGCTGCAGTTAAAGGTAACGTATCAGTACGACCTCAGCTACCGGACAGATACACTGTGAGCAGTGGAGGCAGGGAGGACACCAGGTGTGCATAGGAACTCTCTGAACTATCTTTTCAGATACTCTACGCATCTAAAATGGTTCTAAAACTTGAAGTCTGCTGAAAATTTTTAGAAATTTAAATGTGAGAAAGGGACCGTTCCCAGGAGGTTGCCTGGCATGCGGCGGGCCCCAGGACACTAACACAGCGTGACGCTCATCACACCAAGGACAAAACCAGCACGTGACACTGACTCTTGGAAACAAGCATAAAACAACAGAGAGGTGAAAAAGCCGAATCCAGAGGTACCAATGTCTATCTACAGGTGCCTGACAACCCACGTGTGTACTTTGATAAAAACCCAGGACAAATTGTGCTGAGAACAGAGGTCAGATTCCCTAAGTGTGCATCCCGGAAAAATGTGGCTTTAGTCCACGGTCTTCATTATTGGTTTCCTCGCTTGGGGGATTAACTACGATCTTTTCATAAACGCGTCTGGCACCCGAGGACACGAGTCCAGGGACACACGAGACGTTGGTGGCCGCCCCGGGGACAACTGCATGGTATCCCCAGGGCTGCCGTGAAGGCCACTCCAGCCGAGCCTGTGAGTTCTGACACGGATGCTAGCACTCCCGTCCGCCCCAGCCACTTCCCCCCTCTCAGTCCCAGCCCCCATCCGGCCTGGGGGCCTGGCTGCCGTGGGAAGCGGAACAGACCTGAGGAAGGAGGCTCAGACAGGCTTTGGCAACGGCACCCCTAGATTCAGATCTGGGCTCGTGGGAGACACAGCTGATTCCAGGGTGAGGGCAGGGAAGGACCAGGTAAGTTGGGATCGTCGTAAAGAAGTGCTCAGAACACAGAAGGATGGGACAGAAGGATGCCAGGGCCAGCTTCAAGGGCCGAATCTGAACATTAACTAAATAATGATGGCAAGAGAATAAGACAGAAAGCCACGAGTACATGCAGATATAAATAGAGACGACGAAGAAGAAAGCGTGATGAGGAACCAGTTATTCAGAGAGCCTCGCAGTCCCTCCCCTGAAAGCACTTACTCCTTGCCAAGGAGAAAAGAACAGCCTCGTGCCGGAGCGGCCTGGGAGGCAGCGCTGGCATCAAGTGCCCCCAGCCAGCCACGCCAGGAAAGGGACCAACCGGCTGGAAACTGGCAGGACGGCCGCCACCTAGGGAGCTCAGCACCCCCGCTGGGATCTTCCCGCCACCAGAGACGCATGACCTGACTCCAGTCTCCCATCACAAGGACTGCACCGGGCAAACCCAAGGGGAGGGATGGCCAAGTCAGCGGGGGGATGCTCAAAGGTGGCAAAGTCACAAACGTGACGGAAAAGACAGGAATGGACCCAGACTGAAGGAAACTCAAGAGACGTGACAACCAGAAGCAACACGGGGTCCTGAACTGGATTCTTCTGCTGCGGAGGACATGGTTGGAACAAAGGAAGGATCTTGAATGGGGTCTGAGAATTCGTCGGTGGCAACGCACCAGTGTGAATTCTCTGATTTTGGTGGCGTCCCTGCGTTGTATAAAAATACACCGTGTTTGCATGAACACACACTATACAGTATGATAAGCCATCGAGATACTCACTTGCCTCAAAAAGTTTAGAAAAATTAGTTCTTTGCATTTCCTTGTGACTCTACCCTAAGCTTGAAATTATTTCAAAACAACAACAATGAAAATTTTTTTTTCAACTTAAACCTGCCTGAAGTAACAGATAAGGACTTTGGCGTCCATTAAAACGAAGACGTTTAGTCTGGGTTTCTCAACCAGGCACAATTCCCACCCCAGACTGTTCTTAACCGACTGGCCTTAAACAAGTTCCTCAACCTTCCTGTGGGCCTGGTTTCTCATCTGGGAAATGGGGACAAGCAAGTGCCTCGCAGGTCCGCTGTGCATCTAGGCTCTGCTGCCGAAGACACGGGCCACAACGTGGAAATGACTCGAGAGACAGCTGGCAGGCGCTGGAGCTCCGGGACAGGGAGGGCCGGGGCGCGCATCCCCGCCTGGCCAGCCATTAGTCCCTTGACGCACCTGACGCTCATCTAAATGCCAGAGGGAGCGAGGACCCTTTTCTGTACCCAGCACAGTCACTTGAACCACGATTTGAACACGCAAATGAGCCAGCACGTGAATGGACGCTCCCTCACCCCTTCGGGCCCCACTGCCCTGGGAGGGACCGGGGCATCGACACCCTCTGTCCATTCTCATCCTGAGTCTTGGACGCTTATCCTGGCTTCGCCTTCCCTCCAGCTCCGGCCGGGAACCCAGACCCCGCCAGGGACCCACCGGAAGCCAGAGGGCCAGAAATAGCCCCAAACAGGATGGCTGCCACTGAGTCTCAGGGTTTGGTTTCTTGTAGGTCTAACTTCTTCAGGGAAGGTGCTTTTCTCTCTCTGTCTCTATTTTTCTCTGTGGCAAAACTGCCATCACGAAGGTTTGAAGAAAAAAATAAACTGACAGCAATGGAAATTCTAATACTAGAAAAATGTCAAGAAAGCAAACATGGGTTTCAATGAGACATTAAGGCTGACAGCTCATGGAAAAAGGCTTGAAACTATCAAAACACAAAAACCCCCCTTGCTAAGATCACAGCAGGTGCTTGTGAAACTCATCAAGTTTGAAACAGGCCTCAGTGGACGGGTTTTGTGCCCAAGTCCGAAAGCGGGCGGCAGTGAGGGTCTCCAAGGGTCCTGGGGAGATGGGGGGCAAGAGGGCCGTGACCTGGCCCAAGGCTGCCCACTGGGCTCCTATGTGGACACTGGAGAAAGGACGAAGCTTGAGGGGAGGGTGGCAGAGGGGACAGGTCTGAGCCCTCCACAAACAAAGCCCACAATCTCAAGGACCAGAGCCTGAGTCTTGAGTCTCACCAGCTGTGTGGCCCCCACCAGCTACCCACTTTTGGGCCTTGACTCCTCCTTATGGAATGGAGATCATCACCCATCTCCCTTGGGGTTCCTGGGGTGGTAAGACCCTCTATGGGAGCCTGCCTTGAAACCAGAAAGGGAAGTTCACTCCTTCCCCCGGGGTCGGGGCCCAGCACACAGCAGGTGCTCAATCAGTGCTTGTGGAGTGCTGGTGAGACCTTGTCCTGCCTGAAAGGGCCGCACAGGGGAGAAGAGGCACGTGGGACCCACCCCCCACCCACCAACACACACACACACACATACATACACACACACACACACACACACACACTCACACCCGGGTGAGGGCTGGAAGTAGGTCAGGGGCTCTGGCAGTGGTCTGCAAAAGTTGGCCTGGAAGCAGGGCCAGAGAGGGCTTCAGAACAGCCTAGAAATCAGAAGGCCCTGAGATGCCTGGTGAGGAAAGCAGCTTCCAACATGGGCTGGCCTGTTGGCCGACATCGACTCTCAACAGCACACAGCTCCCGCATCAATTGAGCCGCATGGCCGCCATCTGAGGCAGACCTTGCCACCCCCCTTTACAGTGAGGACACTGAGGCAGAGGAATGAAGAAACTCACCGGGGCCATGCAGCTCAGAAGTGGCAGAACCAGGATTCCAGCCCTATCAGCCTGCCCTACAGACCCAATGGCCCTCGCTGCGAGAGGGGCACAGAGCGGCGGGGAGCGGGGAGAGGGGCAGAGAGGCCAGAAAGGAAGGGAAGGCATTCAGAAATGCCTCTCCAGGGGGTGGGCACTGTGGAGGAAAGAATGAAAGACGAGATGGATCTTAGACCTTCCTGCTAGCCCGCCATCCGAATGCCACGGAGGACCGTGGAGGACGGTTCCCGACCGCGCTGCATTCCCCTTACTGATAAGCCTGTGCAGAAAGGGAGCCCCAGACCCAGGGCCCAGAGCCGCTGTGTCCCTGTGGCCCAAGCAGCCCCCTCTGGACATCTGGACACTTACCTGCAGGCTCCAGCTTGGGCCGGAAGGTCTGGACAGGGTAGCACAGGTAGAGCTCTGAAAGGACAGCAGAGTTGGCTGGAGAGCCTCGCGCAGTGCCCCCCCAGGGCAGCACAGAGCCCAGGCTGGGCTAGCGCAGAGCCCCTGCCTCCTCCAGGCCCCAAGACTCATGTACTCACTCTGCTGAATCCACTTCCGGCAGGCCCTCCGGTGGCACAGGAGGAAGGACACGGAGCCCAGGACCATCACCAGTAGCATGACCATCCAGAAGAGCATGGGCCCTAGAACACAGAGGCAGCCCTGCTCCCTCCACCCTGATGCTGGGGGGCCCAGGAGCCTCCGCTGCAAGCACCCCGGACGGTCCTCACCCTGGACTATGTTCTCCTTCTCCTGGGGCACAGAAGCCATCGGGGCTGGCAGGACCTGGTCCTCCCCCAAGAGTGAACTGAGACCCAGACCCTCTGCCTCCCTGGTGCAGCCTTATCCACCTGCCCTCCCTCCCCTGGCTGGAGGGAGCCCGTCAGGGCAGGTAAATGGCTGACAGAAGAACAAGCCATTCCTGGACAGTGAGAAATTGAGGAGTCGAGGAGCCGGAAGGAAGGAGCTGAGGTCCAGAAGAATACGGTCTGGGGTCCGCGGAGGAGAGCCCCTGCCAGGTGTGGCCCCGCGGCCGGGATGGTGGGGGAGGGTCGGGGGGGGCAGGCGGAGCAGCAAGGAGGGTGAAGTGGGGAGTCTGGGAGGGCTCCAGCTCCCCTCCAGATGGGAAGCTCCCCAAGGCAGGCACGGGGTCTTCTCTGCACACGCACCCACTCAGCACCTCTTCCCTGAATACCATGCAGGCACCATTACCATCTCCTTTTACAAACGAGGGAAACTGAGGCCTGCGAAGTAACTCACTAAAATGGCAAAGGGCAAACCGCAAGAATCACGGCTTGGGCCAGGTCGGGCCAGGTGGCTCCAGAGCCCACACACTTCACCGCTGTGTGGGTGTGTGTTTCTACAACTTAACTCAGTACTTGTTCCTTTTTCTTTGGTCGCTTAAGAAGACAGTTACTGTTAAGTCCACGTTCAGATGTTAAAACGTAGTAGGTGCCGTCTATGTGCTTCTCCAGCTTTAACGTGCATGCCGATCTCCTGGGACCATGTTGCAATACACACTGTGGTTCGTGGGGTGGGGGTGGAGCCCAGAATTTGCTCCTCTGACAAGTTGCTGATGCCGCAAGTCCCAGACCACGCTTAAGCATGGCCAGCCGGAGGGCTGCCGCCACCTAGAGTTTGACACTAGAACTGCAAGCCCTACACCAAAGCCCCTTAGAATGTCCCCAAGGAGCCCCAAAAGGTGATAGCTACGCGTACCCCACTGCTTACTGCTATGCGTGGTATGTGCGACAAAACTGAGGCTCAGAGGAATTAAGCAACTAGTCAAGGTCATGTCTTCATTGTCCAAGTGTTTTGTGAGTAGCAATTACGGGCCACAGGGACAAAGCTCTGAGTACAAGCCCTGCCCGGAACCGAGGAACAGTCAAGAGCAAGTGACAGAGCCACAGCCCCAGCTCAAGAAGCCAGAAAGCTGGGGTCAGCCTTGGTCTCCCCCACCCAGTGGATGCTGCCGCCCAGGGACAAGCCTCCCTCCTCCCGGCCCCTTGGGAGGCAGACCCGTCCTTTCTGGGAGGTAATGGTTACCTGAAACCAGAATGGGCTTTCCCGTGGAGGAGAAAGAGATGGGAGTGCTCGTTGATATGGGGGTGTCTCCCCAAGCGTGGGTGATGCCCCTTCCATGCTCCTTACTGATCTGGGGGTCTGCCGAGGAGACCAGAGGGGCAGAGGCACTGCCAGGAGAGAAGGCAGAAGTAAGACTGACGGTGGAGATGGAGACAGGGAAGCATGTGCTCAGGAATCGTTCCCGGTGGTGCCAGCCCAGAGTCGCGCACACATCCTCCAAAATGACTTGTGACCTTGGCACAGAGATCCAGCCCAGGCCCCACCCCCACCCCCAGCCTAGCTGCCCCTAGATAAGGCCAGGGAGGCACCTGGTGGGCGTCTTGCTGTCCTCTGGGTTGGTGCTGCAATCAGGGTGGGCCTCCGGGGGAGGTGGCTCATGGGTGGCACCCCTTTCAGCTGTACCTGCAGGGAGAGGTCTTAGAATTGGTATCAAGGAGCCTTACCCAGCAGCACTGGTAACTTCCAGGGGGGAGGCTTGGTGAGGCCATAAGGACACTGCAGCCAGGAAGACTCAGGCTGGTGTACTGACCCTCTTTTCTTCTCCCCTTCCTTCCTTCCCTCCATGCAACAACTCTTTATTGAGCACCTGCTATGTATCAGGGACTGTGCTGAGAGCTGGGATGTAGCAGTGAGCAAAAGAGACCAGATCCCTACTGTCAGGGGCTCACGGGCATGGTGGAGGGCTCACAGAGGTGACACGGGTGTCACACAAAGGTACAGGGGCTCCCCGTAACACGGGACTTAACACATCTGTCCAGGGAGGCTTCCCTCAGGGGCCACTGCTCGGGTGTCTGTGTGGGTGGGGCTATCTAAGCAGAGGAAATCAAAGGCAGGGTGGCCCTAGGCCCCCTAGGTGGGGGGAAGGAGGAGAGCAGGCGCATGGGAGGGGCTGGTGAGCAACACACTTATTCATAGCAGCATTCTTCAAAGTAGCCAAAGGGTGGAAACAACCCCAATGTCCATCAACTGGACAAATAAATAAGATGTAGTGCATCTGCACCCCAATACTGTGTGGCAAGAAAAGGGAACCGTGCACTGAGACAAGCTGCAGAGCACAGAAGCCTCGAAAGGATCACGTTCAGTGAGAGAAACCTGACACAGAGCACGGATTCGGGAAATGTCCGGAAAAGGTCCATCTAGAGGGACAGAGAGTAGGATGAGTCCTTGTCCGAGCTGGGGACAGATACGGGGATTGACTACTAAAGCCACAAGGTTTCGTAGATTGTAGTGATGGTTTTGTAACTCTGTAAATGTCTTTACAGTCATTGAATTGCACAATTAAATCTACAGATCCTGGGGTATGTCAAGTGTACTGCAACAAAGCTGTTCTTAAAAACTGCTCCCCAAAGCGAGGATTTAATTAGCAATGGGATGGGATCAGTGCGGTAGATTACATCCCGGGCCCCCCTCCTCAGATGGGGGAGGTGTCTGTGTCCCCGCCTCCCCAATGCCCTGGGACTCAGATGGTCCGCGGAGCAGGACGGAAGGAACAGTGTGACTGTCCCCAGGCTGGGCCGTTCTGTACTCCCACCCCGGCTGTAAGGAGAGGATGCTCTGGGCAGGTACTCGTTCCAGGAGTAAGAGAAACACCTGAAGCAAATGCAAACCAAACCTGCGCACCCAGGCCAGACGGCAAAGCCTCCAGCTGACCCAGGCAGGACAGCTGAACCCTGAAATGTCAACGTTGTTTGTCGTCCGCTATGCCTGCAGCTAGAGCTGGCTAAGACAGGCAGGCCTGTGGCTCAAAGGATCAAAGTGGGAAAGCCGCCCTCACCTCCAGCCAACTGTGATGGCACAGGAAGGTGGCCTGGTGCTCTACACCTTCTGAGTTTATGCAAAAGAGAAACCTGATAAATACATATAAATAAACACATGAAATTACTATCTCCTGATATTTAAACGTAGCCTCAGTTTTCTGAAAGTTCCTTTCTTTTGAGATCAACTGTATTAAGGCATAATTGATACAGGAGAAAATGTCCCCTCCGTTGTACTGTTTGATGGGTTTTGAAGACCGCGTCCTTCCAATCTACCTGTACCTCCATTCAAGATCTAGAACATTCCCACCCAGTAAATTCCCTGGTGCCCTTCTGCCATAAACCCTCCTCCTGCATTCAGGCAACCTCTGGTCTGCTTTATGTCTATATAGATTAGTGTGCCTGTTCCAGAATTTCATTAGACTGGCTTGGGCAGGAAGTACCCTCTGGGTCTGGCTTCCTTCTCTCAGCATGTTTCTGTGATTCACTTAAAATGCACGGCACACTCGTCACTGTGGAGATGTGCCACATTTACCCGGTCACCCGCGGATGGACATCTGGGTTGTTTCCAGATTGGAGCTATTATAAATTAATTATAAATTATAGGGGTGCCTGGGTGGCTCAGTGGGTTAAGCATCTGCCTTCGGCTCAGGTCATGGTCTCAGGGTCCTGGGATCAAGCCTCTCTGCTCTCTGCTCAGTGGGGAGCCTGCTTCCTCCCCTCTCTCTGCCTTCCTCTGCCTACTTGTGACCTCTCTCTGTCAAATAAATAAATAAAATCTTTTAAAAAAATTATAAATTATAAATAAGGCAGCTCTGAATGTTCTTGTACAAGTCTTCATGAGGACATACAATTTCATTCCTCCTGATACTTCAGAGCGGAGGGGAAGGCTGTATGTCACTGTGCCGACCACACAGAATGCCTTTGAGGACCTGTTCAAGGATGGTCTCCTCTGATCTGACCCAGGCACCTCTTCTTACAGGTGGGAGAGAACCACAGAGCCAGAGCTAGAGCCAGAAAGCGGGGCTCCTGAGTTCCAGGCCTCAGCAAGCTCCACTGGACCACGCCACCTCCTGCCTGGGGACCAAGCACGTTCTTATGAGCTTACAATTAACTGCTTTTCTAGGGTTAAAAAAACTGGCCCACATTTGAAGTAGGTCATGCCCAGCCACTATCCCTCTCTACCCCATGTCCCTGGTGGCCGCACACCTCCTCTGCTGTGGTACAAAGCAGACCCCCCACCCATACTCATTTCCCTTCTATGAAGCTCTCATGCTGCTTCTCAGATTTTTTCCTGAAACACTATGAAGAGAAAGTTAAGCAAGGATTAATTTCCTTCTTAGATTAGTATGGTTCTAAGGAACTCCCCTCTTTTGGGGGGGGGGTGTTTCCAAATAGATGCTATGTGGTCCCTCAGCGTCACCAGACTATTACCCGAATTAGCTGAATTCTTCAGGCTTTAGGCTCTGAGGAAGATGATAGGATTTGTTATGATAATTTCTATTTATTTGCAAATCAATATTGAATTAAATTTAAAATGTTATTGGTTTCCACAAGAGATGACCCTCAGAGGACTGGAGGAGTTCTTGTGTTCAAATATATTACCTGCAGCTACCCCCAGGCAGCACCATGAGAGGCCTCCCACCTCTCTCTAAGGCACCTGAGTCTGAGCTCCCACTGGACACCTGCCAGAATGCAGCAAAAGAACCGCTGTCCTGGGGCGCCTGGGTGGCTCAGTGGGTTAAGCATCTGCCTTGGGCTCAGGTCATGATCCCAGCGTCCTGGGATCGAGCCCTATGTTGGGCTCCCTCCTTAGTGGGGAGTCTGCTTCTCCCTCTATCTCTGCCCCTCCCCCAACACCCACTCATGCTTTCTTTCACTCTCTCTCTTTCTCAAATAAATAAAACCTTCAAAAAAAAAAAAAAAAAAAAGAAAGTACCGCTGTCCTACTCTAAGTGGAGAAGGTGGACCTAGTGCTCCTTGGGTGCCTCTCAGCTTCTCCATGTGCATCATACCTCACCTGTAGCCTCCTCCTTTCTCCCGGGTGTAGTGACCCTCCCCCTTTCCTCTTTCTTTAAATCTGGAGGTGAGGAGAAGGTATTGTTTAGCCCCTACTTAGGCTGCTGTGTTGTCTGGTAAGAGCCAATTGAAAGAGGGGAAAAAAGAAAAAGAAAAAGAAACTACCCACTCTTATTCCCAATTTAGAACTAAAAAATATAGTATTTGCCAGACTGAAATATTTCTCTTTAAATCCAAACACCTGATCCTTGGGCCATTTGAAGGAGAATGGTCTTAGCATCAAGGTCAAGTGGGTTCTCTTTTTGTGCATTCAACAAGTGCTTAAAATCAGATAAAATTTTCATCTTCATATTTGGAGTGTAGCTTAGTCGCCTTTTTATTTTCCCTAGAGTTCTTAACTGCCTTTTGTTTTCTTGTTGAGAAGAGAATAATGTGCCTTCACCGTATCATCAAGTTTTTCAAACCTACTACTCAGGAAGTTTACTGTGATTCTTTCTTTCATTCCTGCAGACAGGACAACTCAATGGAGCCCTCCTCCATTTTTCTGTTCTCATCTGGCTCAATTGGTCTGCAATACAGCTGTCATACTGGGACTTCCCTGCTCTCCTAGGATAGAGTCACTGTTTTCTAGATTCATGGCTTTTTTTGTTTCTTTTAGCCCCTCATTTAGCCAGATAACATCTTCAAGTAACTCTCTAAGAGAGGACACATGAGGGAAAATCTTCCTGCCCTTTTATGTCTGAAAATGCTTTTTGATGCTTTCAAACTTAATTGTACTTAACTGAATAGAAAATTCTAGGTTCAGAACTAAGAAGAAGCTGATGTGGTCTGGTAGGGAGGACTCTGGGCTGGAACTCAGGATCCTTATGTTCTAGCTCTACCTCTGACCATATGGTTCTCTCCATCCATAAAACTAGGTGGGTAAGATCAGGTCACAGTGGTGAAAGCCTTTGAATGGGCCCTCAGAGACATTCTGGGTGGCCAGCACAGGAATCTAGTCATCCATCTCCTGGGTATTTACTCATGAGAGATGAAAATATATGTTTACACAGAGCTGTACAAGTCTTTTTATAATTGCTTTATTCGTAATAGCTCCAAACTAGAAATAACCCAAATGTCTGTCAACTAGTGAATGGACAGATAAGATATCTGTTATGTCTGGGTCTGAGTAATCCTCATTCATCCTGCTTTGCTCTTGGTAGGTCCATCTGAAGTTTCATATTTTTCAGGTCAAGTATGCAAGGAAAGTTGGGGCATCACGGTGGGTACAAGGCCCGGAGCACACAGTGACTGGGTCAACAGGGCTGTGAATGCAGAAGACCCAAGGCTTGGGGTAAGGGGTGCACAAGGGGAATTATGGCACTTTGGCTGACATGAGGCCCAGAGTATACCAGTGTCCCTGTTGGGAAGGTCACACCAAGGTGGTCACCAGACCCAGGTTGGGGCTGTGAGGCTGCCCAGGGACTGTCTACTCTGGGAGCATGACTGGGGCGGGCACGAACAGGTGTCCCCACCCATGTGCTGTCGACAGAGGGCGCAGCAAGAGCAAGAAAAAGCAAATGCAGCCCAGAGAAGCCTCGTTCTTCCTACAATGGCTCCCCAGTGCCCTCTACTGGCAGAGCTCAACATCGCGATCAGTAGGAGAAACGCATAAAGAGTCTGGTCTTTGCCTGCACAGCAGGTGCTGAAGGTGAATGGACAGCTGAGAGGCAATACCTGGGAAGAAGCACACTTTCTTAAAACCTTTTTTGGTCCTCTTCTTACTATGTCTTTTTCACAGCATTCTGATCTCTCTCTATGGATGTAACAACTTCTTGAGTTTTTCTGCGGATGCTAATTTAACATTTTAAATGTCTACTCCTATTCCTCAAGCCATTTCCATCGCTTCACCCACAGTGTTCTGTGATTTTGTTTTTCTCCATCATGCAGCTGGTTTCCCTTATTCGTCTGAATGGCTTTACTGCCCACTCCTATTTCCTTAAAAAGGACTCTGCTCCAGTAGCTGGTGGGGCTTCTTCTGCTGTGTTGGTAGCACGGCCTTTCCACCTGAGGTCTCTTCATGAGTAGGGGGTCCGGCTGGGAACTCTGGGCGGTGGGGAGTGTGGGCTGACCGTCTTCACTTCAGGGGCACTTAGCAGGGGTAGCTTATTGCCAGGTTATACTCCCAAACACACAACCAAAGAGGGCTTTACACAGGGCGGCGGCCCCCCACCAGCAGCCCCATGTTTCCCCAGATACTCCTTCAGTGTCTTCAGCCAAAAAGTTGATGATTTTCACCAGAGGATGAAAACTCAGGCACCATCAGGGTCCGTGGTGTACGGTGTCTCAGATATTTAATTGTTATTTCCCAGATGCAGCCCGCTGCGCTGTTCAATTCTTCACTGCAGCCCCATTCTTCCTTCTCCTGGTCCACTCTGAGCCCAGAGCCTCCATGGGGTCTTGTGAGCAAGGTACCTCTCGCTTATCCTGCAGCACTTGCGGAGTGAATTCCGGGGCAAGGTTTCCTCCCCCTCATTTCATTTGTCACCACCCTTCCGTTTTCTACCTTCTAGAAATTTCCTGAAATCTCCTTTCTGCTGATTAACCAGGTTTTTTTTTTCCCCCAACGTCAAGAGTTTATATTTTTCTGTACTCTGGCAAATGTCTACCATCTTTTTTTTTCTTTGTTTTCTCTTGTGTTTTTTGTTTGTTTGTTTGTTTTTTAAGTGAGCTCTACAGTCAACGTGGGGTTCAAACTCACAACCCTGAGATCACGAGTTGCATGCTCTGCCGACCGAGCCAGCCAGGTGCCCCAGAGGTCTACCATCTTGAGTTGGAAATGTCTTCAAAAATTTCATATTGCTCTATCTTGAGTCAATGAAACAGCCTTTCAAATAAGTGAAGATTTTACCAGCCCAACAATTTCAGAAGGAACAATTTTTTAAAAAATCATCAGTGTCTCTTACCAAGGGGCACCTGGGTGGCTCAGTCAGTTAAGCATCTGCCTTCAGCTCAGGTCACAACCCCAGGGTCTTAGGATCAAGCCCCACTTCAGGCTCTCTGTTCAGCGGGGAACCTGCTCCTCCCCTCCCTACCACTCCCCCTGCTAGCGCTCTCTCTCTTCCTCACTCTCTCTCTCCCAAGTAAGTAAATAAAATCTTAAAAAAAAAAAAAAAAGAATCTCTTACCAAAATGCCAAATCTAGATTTTTAAAAGTTTATTAATTTATTTTTTTAGTAATCTCAATGTGGGTCTCAAACTCACAACCCCAAGATCAAGAGTGACATGCTCTTCCGACGGAGCCAGCCAGGCACGCCCAGATCTAGATTTTATTCCACTTACCAGATTTAACTATTAAAACAAAACCAAAGCCCAAACCTGACCCAGTTAATAGCTGGGGTTGAAGGTCATTTGCCCAGTAGGGGGTGAAGAGACGTCCAGCTGCAGGGGCATAGACGGAAACCCATTGCTTGGGGGTGCAGGCAGCTTACCCTGGGGTTTGGTGACCGTCCCTGGTGGGCAGCTGGAGCGGGGGGTACAGCGGGCACAGGAGTTGGTGGCTGATGTGGTACAGAACATGCCAGATCGACATTCGCAGACTCGAGAGGAGTTCCATGTGCACGGCGTCTTCTCTACCAGGTCTTCAAAGGGACACAGAGAAAGGTCGTGAGGAAGGATCTGGGATGGCAAGGGCAGGGGGTCCCGAGAACCCCCAGGAGGGCAGAGAAGCATTTGCTTGGAAGCAAACACTCACGTGACTATCCTGTCGAGCAGATCTTTTGGCTCAAAATAGTTGGGCTAAGCGAAAGAAGGCAAGGGGGGAAAAAAGAGTATGTACTATCTGAGTATGTTTACAGAAAATGCTAGAATATACAAACTCTTCCACAGTGACAGGAAGCAGGATGATTTCCTGGGAATGGAAGTGGGGTGAGCAATGGTGGGAGGGACGATAAGGAACTCGAGGAAACTTTCTGGAAACTTCTTTTCCTTGATTGTGGTGATGGCTTCACAGCTGCATACGATGTCAAAATGTATCCAATGGCACGCTTTGCCCACATGCGTGGCCTTGCGTGTCAATCCTGTCGCAATAAAGCTGATAAAAGAAAATAATCTAGAGAACAGGGTGAGCACGCATGGGTAGAGATGAACCCACAGTGGCTGTGACTCGATCATTCGTTAAAAGTGGGTGAAGTCCACAGCCATTCCTGACTTTTCTCTACTTCTGAATACGCTTGAAATCTTCAGTGCTGGGGCACCTGGGTGGCTCAGTAGGTTAAGGGCTTGGCTTTAGCTCAGGTCATGATCTTGGGGTCCTGGGCTGGAGCCCCATGTTGGGCTCCCTGCTCAGCAAGGAGTCTGCTTCTCCCTCTGTCCTCTTCTCCGCCCTCCCGCCCCCGCTCATGCTTTCTCTCTCTCTCAAATAAATGAACAAAATCTTTAAAAAAAAAGAAATTTTCAATGATAAAAAGGGTTATTTTTTCCAAAATTTAAAAAAAAATGTTGGAAGTTTTGTCAAAGAAAGCATGTGATAAAGCATTTACATATGCTTGGGAATATTTTATGTGCTCTAAATGGGTAAAAATAGAACAACCACATTAGTAGATCAGACCCATGAGACTGGCTCGGGAGGACTTTCCTCAATCAGCAGGATACTTCACAGACCTCGGATGATAACCTCACAGTCTCTTCCTGAAACCTCCAGAGAGAGTGGGAACTGGGGAGGGTTGGGGAGTTTGTGCGGGCGGCAGGAGTGAGCTCGGCAGCGCCAGCGAGGACTTGGGACAATGAGAGCTGTTATCGCGATCACAGCTATTAACAGCACCGAGTGTGGGTGGGACGCACCTGGGTGGCTCAAGTAAGCGTCCGACTCTTGGTGTCTGCTCAGGTCATGATCTCAGGGAAGTGAGAGCGAGCCCCACTCGACAGGGCTCTGTCCTCAGTGGGGAGTCTGCTTGAGGTTCTCTCCCTCTCCTTCTCCCCCCTTCCCGCATGCACACACTCTCTCGCAAAACAAATAAATAAAATATATATATATTTAAATACCATTGAGTACAAACAAGGCAGCCATAATACCATTAGGTGCGTGGGGGGTCTTATTCTTAGCATCCTGCCCTGATTAACCTAGTTTGACCTACTTAATTCCTGCATCAGGTCTTCGAGAGAGTACTATTATGATGCCCACAGCAGATGAGGGAACTGAGGCATGGAGATGTTAAGAAACTTGCTTGTGTTTATAAGCTGCAAACTGGTAGGGCCAAGATTCGAACCCAGGCTCTTGGGCTCCAGAGCCCAGGCTCTTGGGCTCTCTTGGCCCCTGTTCTCCACCCTACGGCTTCGCAGAGCTTTCATCCTTAGAGCTGAAGGAATTCTCTTGTTTCTCTATCTGACACAGTAGCTTCGGCAGATAATATTTTTTCCAAAAATGGCCAGAGCAGCATTTCTGGCCCCATCTGCTCTTCCAGACCTCTACCACTCACCGTCAAGAAGCTTGATTTCTTCTCCTTCCGCTGACTCCAGTGGGATGTGTGACTGCCTCAAGAGGTAAAAACTGGCAGAAACTACGCCATGTGACTTTCAAGGCAAGGTCAACAGAAGGGATGTGGCTTGTCCCCACCCCTGCCCCATCCCTGGAATCCAGGCACCAGGCCTCGAGGAAGCCCCCAAGTTAGCCATACAGAGGCCACGAAGGAAAGGGCTTTCAGACAATTCCCGCCTGTAACCTTTACGTTTTCCAGCTGAAATCCCAGACATCGTGCAGCAGAGACCAGCCACCCGCTCAGGGTCCTGTCTGAATTCTGACCCATGGAACTCATGAGTAAACAGGAGGGGGATGGTATTTGCCACCATGTTTTGAGAAAGCTTGCTTGTGGCTTTTGCAACTGGAACAGTGGCCCCCAGTGACAAATGGTGTTCTTTCCTCTTTGGGCCTTTGCTGACTTCAGCCAGCGTGTGAGAGAAACCTTGGACAAGGAGACACGATCACGCATCCCCTCCCCGCGCCCATGGCCTTTGTGACGGGTCTGGGGACACAATCAGCCACGGCTGTCTGCGGCCTGGACAGCCCTAGTGGATGTCAGAAGGCAGCTGGTAGTGCTGTGAGGCTGTGCTGAGTCGGCCACATACACAGAAGTCACCCAGCAAGTGTCTGTCCTGAGAATGTTCTAAGGACAGTATAGTGACTGGCCAAGCCCAGAACCACCAAGTTGAAACTCCGGCCATGCCGCTCTTGGGGGCCTGTGGCTTTTGTAAGGTCTCAGTGTTCTCCTCTGTACAATAGGGACAACTGTAATCCACACACCAGAAGACAGCTACCAAAAATAACGGGACAAGTCTGGAACAGGTGGATGATAAGGAACGCTTCCTTGCAGGAGTAAACAAACGGAAGCTGTGTGAGAAGGGGTCACCGCCATCAACACCCCACAATCGAGAGGGAGACTCAGTAAAGGCCCGCTGCTCAGAGATGCCAGCGAGGGGAACTAGGCTCCTGAGGGCTGAGCAGTCCCAGAACAAACTCGGAACCCCCCATCCCCAGATTCTCAGCCAAGAGCCCCTGCTCCCAGGAAGGAGCCCCTTACCTCCAGAGCAGGTCACGCAGGCCTTGCAGCGGCCGTCCCTGTCCAGGTAGTAGTCGGGGTCACACTGCTTCCCACAGTCCGATGACCCCTGTGCGCACGGCTGCTGCGAGATCGGCCCTGAGGAAGGAAGCAGAGAAGCTCCAGGCCAGGCCGCCTTGCCAGAGGCCCCACCTCCACACCCAATCGCCACCTCCAGCTCCACGGCTGGCCCCCAAACTCCACACATGTCAGACTGATCTTTCAGAGGGAGTCCTGAAGCCCAGAGAGGGAAGGAATGTGTCTAAAGCCACACAGGGGAGCAGCACTCACTAACCGGCCCCTGCCATCCTCCATGGCCACTGCCCTCTCCCCAGCCTCACTGCCGTGTCACCACCCTCCTCAAAACTCGGGGGCCACTCTCCCTCTGAGACCAGCCGTGAGGTGACGATGCCTACTGGCCACAGCGTCCACTCAGTGTGGCACTGGGGGATCCAGGCAATTCAGGAAGGCAAGGAAAAGAGAGGAAAGTAGTGGGGTCTGGCGAAGAAGACATCAGGCTGTCATGGACAGACGGCATTGCTGAAGGGGACAGATGACCAAAAGAACCAGCAGATACATTATTAGGACTAACAAGTGAGTCTAACAAGGTGCTTGGAAATAATGTCATTACATCAAAACTGAGTGCCTATATGCTTGGGTTGAACCACATTAAATTGCTATTTTGGTAGGTGAGGCTGCCAAATATTGGCTATTCACACGGTTCAAAACAATACCAATGATGAAGAGTTAGAACACGAAATACTGAAAAAAAATTCCCCTCATCATCAGAAACATCAGGTACCTAGAAATCTAAAACAAACCTATAAATCTCTCTACACAGAAAAAAATAAAACATTACTGGGAGAAGGTCAAGCAGACCTAAGTTGAATTCAATAAATAAAAATAAAGAGCGAGGGGCGCCTGGGTGGCTCAGTGGGTTAAAGCCTCTGCCTTCAACTCGGGTCATGGTCCCAGGGTTCTGGGATCGAGCCCCGCGTCGGGTTCTCTGCTTGGCAGGGAGCCTGCTTCCTCCTCTCCCTCTCTGCCTGCCTCTCTGCCTACTTGTGATCTCTGTCAAATAAATAAATAAAATCTTTAAAAAAAAAAAAAGGAGCGAAATAATAGAGGGCTTTACCATGTACTACTCGATACTGCAAAGATATGGATTCTCTCTAAAATGAGCTGGATTCGGTGCGATCCCAACGAAAAGCCCAAGAGGACAGTTTACAGAAATCTGAAAAGCTGATTCTGAAGTGGACACAGAGAGGCAGATGACTGAGAAGAGCCAGTCTAGTGACAAAGAACAAAGGTAGAGACATTGCTCGACCATTCCGATGATTTAACGAAAACCTGCACCAATCAAGACCCTGGGGCATCCACACAGAATAGACGACAGAAAGACCAACGGAACAGAACATCAAGTCCAAGGCCGTGCCCAGGCACATACGGACCTTTGGATACAAAGATGTCTGCAACACAGTGGGGAAGGACCATCTGTTTGATAAAAGGTATCGGTTCAACTGGACATCCACACGGACCTTCCAGCAGGACCCCTGCCTCACGCGGTACACACAAGCCAAGGCAGACGGCGGGTCTACACGGGAAAGGCAAAATGGGAACAATTCTAGGAAGTCAATGCAGATGTCTTCGAGACTTGGGTGGAGGAAAGAATATAAAGAGCAGAGCATAAACGCACCAGTCATAAAGGGAAAGACAGATCCATGTGACTACTTTAACATTTATTTTTAAAATATTATTTATTTGAGAGAGAGAAAACACAAGCAGGTGGGAGGGGCAGAGGAAAAGAGAGAAGCAGATACCCCACTGAGCAGCTGAGCAACATGGGACTTTGATCCCAGGACCTCATGATCATGACCTGAACCGAAGGCAGATGCTTAACTGACTGAGCTGCCCAGGTGCCTGTGATTACATTAAAATTTGGAATATCTCTTTATGGGGGCGCCTGGGTGGCTCAGTCAGCTGAGCATTGGACTCCTGATTTCAGCTCAGACCACGATCTCGGGTACCTGGGATGGAGCCCCACATCAGGCTCTGCACACCACAGGGAGTCTGCTTGAGGATTCTCTCCCTCTCCCCTTGCTCACACAACCGCATGCACGCTCTCTCTCTCTCTCTAATAAATACATCTTTTTAAAAAATAAAATAAAAAAATATCTTTAGCAAAGACACCATAAAGAGAATAAGAAGGCAAGCCACCGGGTGGGAGGTGCTCGTCCGCACACACTATAGGATGAAGGGCTCAAACCCAGAACTGTAAGAAGTCCTATCAAGAAATCAATGGAAGGGGTGCCTGGATGGCTGTCGTTAAGCGTCTGCCTTTGGCTCAGGTCATGATCCCAGGGTCCTGGGATCAAGCTCTGCATCGGGCTCCCTGCTCGGCAGGAAGCCTGCGTCTCCCTCTCCCACTCCCCCTGTGTCTCCCTCTCCCACTCCCCCTGCCTGTGTTCCCTCTCTCGCTGTGTCTCTGTCAAATAAATAAAATCTTTAAAGGAAAAAAAAAAGTCAATGAAAAAGACAAACAAGCCCCAGAGATTTCACACAAAGACTTGCTTTTCCTTGTTCATCACAGCCAAGAGGAAACAACCCAAATACCCAAAGACTCACGGGCAACCACGGGCCAGCACCGGAGGCCAGTCAGCCATGGCAGGAGCTGACTGAGGGCCCCGCCGGTCGCCGTGGGAACCTGGAGGGTATCAGACCCACAGCCACTCCCACACCAGACTCCGCGTCACACACACTCGAGCTGTCCAGCGAATGACTTCTTCCATGACCTACAGCCCCAAGAGGCCTGGAGACCCTCTTCTCCCCAGACGGGGAAAGACCACAGCCCAGAGCCCCCCTGCCTGGACCGGCCCGCGGGGGTCGCCGGCCAACGAGACGCTGCTGCCCTGGAAACGAGCCACAGCCTGTCGGGAGAACTCACCTGGATCTGGACTGGGCTCCCGCACCGAGGAGGGAGAGCTGGGGGCCCTCGTCATTTCGGAACCGTCTTCCGGGGTGAGGGAAGCGCCCCTGCCAGGAAGCGCGGTCCTCGCCCCGGAGCTTGCTGAGGCAGTCCTGAGGCGCCTGGCCTGGGGGGTGCTGCTGCCAATCGAAAAGTTAGAAATGGCACTGCCGGTTCTCCCGAGGGGGCAAAGGGGGGGTCTGTGCTCAAGGGCAACCATTTCTGCAGAGAAGGGGGTCCCCAGATCCTCTGTCCACAGCGTCTGGCAGCCCCACCGTCAGCTCCTGGGAGCAAGGACTGTGTTTTCTAGGCTCTTCTCTCATATGCTCCGGGAAGACTGAGCACATGGTGGGGCCTCAGCTGGCTTGTGGGCTTGGCAGAGAGACTCCCCGAGGTCCTGACACCCTGGGCTGAACCCCACCCCCACCACAGCCAGCGGGGGGCCCTGAGCATCCTATGGGGCGGGACAGCCCCACACCAAGGTCAGCTGGAGGGGCGAGGGGAGTCACCTGGTGGCCACCCTGCAGGCTTTGAGGCTGGTGCTGCGGTCAGGGCTGGTCACTGGGGAAGGTCGCTCACAGATGGTGTCACTTTCTGCTGTGCCTGCAGGGGGGACAGAAATGCAGGAATGACAGACGTCACGGCGGAGCCTAAGAAGACTCACCGAGACACTGAGGAGACGTCATGGAAGAGCCTGAGGACTCCAGGCACAGATCTTTTCGTGGCCATCCGATGTTTCAGCCTGCCCGGTGCCCAGTCCCTGTTGGGGTAAAGCACCTTGACTTTCCCCGGGGAATACTTTCCAATCTCAGCCCCTGTGCTCAGGGCTGAGGCTGCCTCGCCTCCCTCCCTTCCAGGAGCAAACACAGACCAGCTAGACCCATCAACCCCTTTGATTCCTCTGACCCCGGTGAACTGGTTCAGTAATGGGCATGTGACCCAAGGCGTGCCCAGGAGGAACAATATCAAGGTTTTGGTTTCAGTTCTTGGAAGGAGAAGCCGTCTTTCCACTGGGGTTGGGTGGGAGGCAAGCCAGGAGCTGCTGGTACGAATCTTACAGATGCCTACACATAGTGAAGCAGAGATTGCCTGACACTACGCAGGGAGCCCCAGACTTTGCAGTTACAGGAATCAAAAAATTTTGAGATTTTGTTTCCAGCAACCCAAGGATTCCTGAAGAATACTGGGTGCGAGCAGAAAGAGGAAAACCCGAAGCACTTTCCGTCCAGCAGATCTGAGCTCGCGTGCCACCTCTATTGTCCTCGCCGTGCCCACCACACTGCGTGACATATAGTAAATGCCTAACCCATAGCATGTCCTCCTCCCCATCTGTACATTGCTTAGAGCGTGTCCCACAGGTGAGATTATGATCTGAAGGTTTCGGGGCAGGCAGCGTGAGCAATGCGGATGTGTCTCGTGCTTTGAGTGTGGGGGGGTGACCACGACCGGTGTGACCTTCAAACCCAAGCTCAGGTATTCCCTGCTCTATGGTCTGGAGCACTTGACCCATCTCTGGACCTCAACTTCCTCAGCTGTAAAAGACGGCTGATTCGGCCTACTTGATGGTGTTCTGAGCCCTTCAGGAGAGAACACCTGTGCCAGCTCTAGGCACACGGCTTAGCCATAGGCCAACTCTTAAGCAGAAACTACTTTCCATTTTACAGCTGGAGAGTCGCCCTGTGGGAGCAGAAACCGGGGAGTCCAGGAGTCAGCCAGCCAGGAGTCCACGTCTACATGTCGTGTAGAAACATGATGGGAATCCCACACATCATTTGAAATTGCTTAGTACCCACATTTTAAAAAGTAAAAAGAAACATGTGGAGTTAATTTATTTAACCTAATAGATCTAAAATAGGTCAGTAGATATTCAATATAAAAAATAATTAATGAGGGGCACCTGGGTGGCTCAGTGGGTTAAGCCTCTGTCTTCAGCTCAGGTCATGATCCCAGGGTCCTAGTATCGAGTCCCGCATTAGGCTCTCTGCTCCTCGGGGAGCCTGCTTCCCCTTCTCTCTCTCTGTCTGCCTGCCTCTCTGCCTACTTGTGATCTCTCTCTCTCTGTGTGTGTCAAATAAATAAATAAATAAATAAAATCTTTAAAAAGTAATAATAATTAATGAAGGGGCGCCTAGGTGACTCAGTCATTAAGCGTCTACCTTCGGCTCAGGTCATGACCCCGGGGTCCTGGGATGGAGTCCCACATTGGGCTCCCTGCTCTGCAGGAGGCCGGCTTCTCCCTCTTCCACTCCCCCTGCTTGTGTTCCCTCTCTCGCTGTGTCTCTCTGTCTAATAAATAAATAAATAAAATATAATAAATAAATAAATAAATAAATAAATAATGAGACGTTTTACATTTTTGTCTACTAAGTGTTTGAAATCCAGTGAATGTTCTGTCCTGACAGCCCATCTCACCCCAATGGGCCACATTTTAAATGCTCTCTGGCTGCATGTGGCCAGTGGGACCGCTAGAGGCAGCACAGTCCAGGGCAGCAGAGAGAGGCCTCTGGCCCCAGCATGTGGCAGTCGCAGAACACCACAGAAAGGGCCTCCCTGGCAGGAGCGGGTCCACAGACCTGGCTGGAGCAACAGAACTCCAGGTACTTTTCCCAGATATGCAAGAGTTTCTGAGCTGGAAAGCCCCCCAAGGCCTTCTACTGACAGCTTCACATTTTCCCGATTGGAGACTGAAGCCCAGGATGGGGTGGGAACACATCCCCCAGGTGCAAATCTAACAGTACTCCAGGTGTCTGATGCCCAGCCCCTAGCATCTTCCACTCCGGCCCCTGGCCTGGCTTGCGGCCCTAGATGACCAGGAGCACAATGGGCATGGTCTTGGCCTTCACGGAGCTACGGCTCAGGGAGGGAGGCCAGCACTGATCAAACCAAGACAGACACAAATGTTCATATCCACGTTTGCGAAGGATGCTGTGTGATAAGAGATCAAACGCAGACGTGACCTGTGACAAGTCATAGGAGGCCTCCTGACAAAGTGATGTGTGGACAGAGAGCTCAAGGCTGAGGAGCTGACTGAGTGGACAGGAGGGAAGGGTGTCCCAGGCAGAAGGAACCACATGCCCAAAGGCCTGGTAAGGGGGGAAGCACCACGCAGCCATAGAATTGAAAGAGAGCAGACCAAGTTGAGCCAAGGAAAGAGGGAGGCTGGCGCTGAGTCTGAGGCTGGAGGAAGGACGACGACATGGTGCAGGGCCGGGTACAGACTGTGTCCTGGAGACGGCCTGTGGGAATATGCAGTGGGTGCCCTTTTCCCTAGTCCTCCGACTAAAGACAGCTAAACACCATGGGTACGTGTCTAAACAAAGACAACTCTGGACAGCGGAGAGAAGGCCTTGGAACCCAAGGAATGACACAGTGGTGAATCCCCTGGGTTTTCTCTCTGTTCATCTATCCCAGACATGGAGCCAAATAAGCCAGCAGCCCAGAAATGCCAAACAGCACAGACTTTAGAAAAGAAGTCCCTCCAAAAACCAGTTCTCCTCTGCCAAAGGATCATGGCATTGTCATTAGAGTAATGAGGAGATACTAAAGTGTTTTTTTCACAGGTGTGTGTTTGTGTGTGTGACAGAGAGAACCAGATTTGGTTTTGCAAGGGTGGCTCCGCCTGTGTGCCACGGGCAAGGAATGACAGGAGGAACTGGGTGTGGGGAATGGGAGACAGAATTAGGTGGACAAATGCTATGGGACTGGCTGTGGGGTGTGAGGGAAGGAAAGGAAGGAAGGACAGTGGGGGAGAAGGTGGTAAGGATGGGTGGAAAGGACCAGGTTAGAAGTGGGAGTATCATGGGCGTGGTGCTGGCACCTTTCTCCCCAGTGGGCATGGCTCCCTCTGATTCCATCCTGCCGCTTCCCCAGCCTGGGGCTATGGTCCACCCACTCCCCAAACCTCCCTTCTGAAAGGTGTCCTCAGTACCACCCACACAGCATTTGTGCCCCTTACCTCCTTTCTGGCCATGAGCCTCCTTGTACCGTCAGAAAATTAGAAGCCCAGAGAGGGTAAGGAATTTGCCTGAGCTCACACAGCAAATTGAAAAAGAAATCCAAGTGTCTCAGTAGCTCTAACTCCCAATGCCTCAATGGTGAATTGGCAAAACCAGCCCTAATCCTCTGGGGAACTCCCAGGATAGAGTTTGCTTCTTGTTTACGAGGCATCAGAGAACTTCTGCCCCAAACCTCAAACCAACACAAGACTTCAGTCCAGCAGGCCTGTGCTTCTGGCCACCAGAGTCTCACTGAGCCCAGGACACAAAGTGCAGGGAAGTGGGGAAGGGAGCTCTGCAGTAGCTGGTGTCCCTACAGGATCTCCAAAGGAGGCAGCGGTCTGTCCAACAGGAAGAAGGAAGTGGGAGGTCATAGGTCATTTGGAGATCTGGGGCGGGTGCAGCTGGGCCCAGATCTTGGTGCCAGGCTGCGGGTGAGGATACTTACCCTGGAACCTGACGACCTCCCCTGGTGGGCAGACGGAGTGCGGCCTACAGCGGGCACAGGATTTGGTGGCTGATGTGTAACAGAACATGCCAGGCCGACACTCACAGACGCGGGAGGAATTCCCTGAGCATGGAATCTTCTCCACGAGATCGTCTAAGGGACACAAAGAAGAGTCACAGAGGACAGAGAAAGGACAGGGGAAGAGAGCCAGAGAACCCTCATGGCCAATGCCCCTTTGGCACAAGACAGAAGATGCCGCTGTGGCCTCCCTTTGGGCAGGGAGCTGGCACGCTCAGCCCTTCTTTCCAGAATGTTCCTGCAACAAGGGCAAGAAGCCAGGCAGGGCCAATGGGGCAGAATCCACTTCCCCACCCAGATCCCCAGATGTCATTATAATCGTATTAAAAAGAAATTAATGGCCCCATTTTAAAATGGGCAAAAAAATAAAAATAAAAAATAAAAAGACATGGAGGAACCCTTCAATGCATATCACTACATGAAAGAAGTCAGTCTGAGAAACCTACGTGCTGTGTGATTCCAGCTCTGTGGCATTCTGGAAAAGACCAAACCATCGAGACACTAAAAAGATCAGTGGTTGCCGTGGGTCTGGGAGGAGGGTCCTAAACCTAACATTCATGTCAGTATTGCTCGTAATTGCCAAAAAGTAGAAACAACCCAAATGTCCACCAATCGATTGTTCAGCCATAAAAAGGAATGACCCTGTTACAGAATGGATGAACCTTGAAAACACTGCAAAGTGAAAGAAGCCAGTCACTAAAAGCTGTATTATTAATGACTTTGAAATGCCCAAACTAGGCAAATCCACACAGACAAAATGTAGACTAGTGACTATAAGGGAGTGGAACAGGAAGAGAATGGGAAGGACAGGGGCTTCTTTTGCGGGAGGTGGAAATTTTCTGAAGTCAGATAGTGGTGGTGGGTTGCACATTGTGAATACAATAGAACCACTGTACTGCACATTTAAAATGGAGAATCTTAGGAGCACCTGGCTGGCTGAGTCGGTACACCTCGCCACTCTTGATCTCAGGGTCGCGAGTTCAAGCCCCACGTTGGGCATAGAGCTTACATGCAAGAACAAATAATTTAATTTAATTTTTAAAATAAATAAAATGGTGAATTTTATCTCAAGAGAAAAAAAGAAATCACTGGTATAAGTAATTGGCAAATGCAAATATCCGTGGAAAGCAACACAGGGCATCCTTGGCCAACCGGAAACGGTGAAGGCTTCCTGAAACATGGAAGCAGGTGGGACTGCGTGGAAGAAGGAGACCGAAAACTGCAGCCCAAAATATACCCAAGAGAGTTATTCTGGGAGAGCCTCTGGGCTAGGGCACTCCAGTCTCTGAGTGGGTACAGGGCAGGGGCAGGCCCCAGGGAAGACGAGGGGGAATACAGCAGGAGCACCCAGCTGGGTCAGTCTCCCCACGCTTCTCATCCACTTATGCCACAGGTCCAGAAGCCAAGCATCTCCCCCAGGAGACTCTTGGGTGAGGTGAGCACAATAGTGCCCCAGGGCTGGTCCTATGTGGGAGGAAGGGACCCTGCAGAAGATTAGCCACTAAACAACACACGCCCACATCCCAGTGACCAGATACAGTGTGCAGAAGGGTCACCCGTGGGAGAGAAAAAGAGTTCCAAACTCAAAAAGAACTAACTCTCGAAAGAGCAGATAAAAGAAAAAACAAAAAACAAAAACTCAGAACAAACCATTGGAATCACTACAATTAATATCCTCAGGAATTTGCAGCTACACAACAGAACCCCCAGGAGCTCAAGGAAGAAAGGAAGGACTTCGAAGCCATAAAAAGGGATCCTCGGGCACAGAATGCTGTAGTCACCAATTCATTTCCTGCGGGCTCACGCAAAGACTACATTTCCCAGCCCCCTTTGGAGTTGGATTTGGGTCACGTGACAAGATTCTAGCAAATGAGATGTGAACAAAAATGTAGGCGCTTCTCCCAGGCCTGGCCCCTAAAACCATCTGTGGGGGGGCTTTCTCATCTCTCTCTCTTCCTCACTGTAGTGGCCCCGGAGCAGTACTCTTGCCTGCACCCCGGAAGCAGTACTGAGGAGAGAATAAAATCCTGAGAATTCTAGAAAATCTAAAAGAGTGGTAGACTGAGGACAAACAGTAGATATCCCTGGAAAATTCAAGGAAAAAAAACACAGAGGCCTGGGCAAAGGTGGGAAAGGTGCTGGACTTGCGAACTTTCAGGAAGGCAGGCCCAGGGGAAATGAACAGAGGCCCCGGGAGTGGGGTACACTTCTTTTCGGGCAGCAGGAGCTCCAGATATGCCCCTGATGGAAGAGAAGGCAGATCCCCTCCCCAGCAAGGACGGACCCGTCTCTGGCTGCACTCTGCCTCCCACCCAGGCCCTCGGGTTCCTAAAATCGGTTTCAAAAGTAACACTCAGGATTCCTTCAAAAATTAAACAGGATGACCACACGATCCAACAATTCCACTGCTAAGAATATACCCCAAAAGCACTGAAAACAGAGACCTGAACAGATTATTTGCCGACGTGTGTATTCAACAGCAAAATTCACAACAGCTAAAAAGTAAAAGCATCCCAAGTCTTCACCAACATGAATGGATGAACAAAATGTGGTCGATCCATCCAATGGTGTATTAGCCTGACACCTGCTGCAGGGTCTTGAAGACATGAGGCTCAGTGAAATAAGGCAGTCACAAAAGATAAATATTTTAGGATGCTACTTATATGAACTTCCTAGAGTGGTCAAATTTACAGAGACAGTGATTAGAACGGTAACTGCCAAAGGCTGGGGGTACCATGCTAGGGAGCTAGTGTTCAGTGGGGACAGAGTTACAGTTGGGGCAAATGAACAGGGGCTGGAGCTGGGAAATGGTGAGAGTGTTGCCCCAAAAAATGTGAATGCACTTGATGCCCCCCTCCCCACAGTACACTTAAAACGGTTACAATGATCGGACACTTAGGTGACTCAGTTGGTTAAGCATCCGACGTGGCTTCCGCTCAGGTCATGATTTGGTTAAGTCATGATCCTGGGGTCCTGGGATTGAGTCCCATGTTGGACTCCCTGCTCCATGGGAAGCCCGCTTCTCCTTCTCTGTCTCTCATGAATAAATAAAATATTTTTTTTAAAATGGTTACAATGATCAATTTTCTGTTATGTACATTTTACTACAGTGTTTTTGAAAAGTAACACTCAGCCCCCAGCTGAAGGTCTAAGCTGAAAAGACAAACCAGAGCCCAGGGAGGTAGGGCAGGTGTAAAGAAGTTACACCACAATGAGCTGCTGCCCCTGCTAAGCTGAAGCAAAAAAAAAGAGAAGAGAGCACTGCAAACACACTGCAGTAGTAAAGAAGGAAGGGAGAGAGAAGGGAAGACCAGAAAAGAAAGAGAAAGATCTAAAAGAGATAGAAATACATTTTGGAAAGACCAAGAACCCAGACTAAAACAGAAGCAATCCCAAGAGTGCTTCACACTGTAAAAGGAGTTAATAAGGGGGCACCTGAGTGGCTCAGTGGGTTAAAGCCTCTACCTTCAGTTCAGGTCATGATCCCAGGGTCCTGGGATCGAGCCCCGCATCACGTTCTCTGCTTGGCAGGGAGCCTGCTTCCTCCTCTCTCTCTGCCTGCCTCTCTGCCTACTTGTGATCTCTGAGTGTCAAATAAATAAATAAAATCTTTAAAAAAAAACCAAAAACACCTACCTCAACCTTCATTTAAAAAAAAAAAAAAAAAAGAAGTTAATAAGAATATAAATTCAGCCTGGGTGGTTCACTCAGTCAAGCATCTGCCTTCGGCTCAGGTCATAATCCCAGGGTCCGGGGACTGAGTCCCACATCGGGCTCCTTGCTCAACAGGCAGCCTGCTTCCCTCTCTGTCTGCCACTCCCCTTGCTTGTGCTCTCTCTCTCTCAGACAAATAAATAAATAAAATCTTAAAAAAAAAAAGAATATAAATTCAGCAAAGGAAAAGCTCAAAGAAAAGAGGATCTTTTAAAAAGCATGAGATGAGGGGTGCCTGGGTGGCTCAGTGGGTTAAGCCTTTGCCTTCTGCTCAAATCATGATCTCAGGATCCTGGGATCAAGTCCCGAATCGGGCTCTCTGCTCAGCGGGGAGCCTGCTTCCCTCTCTCTCTCTGCCTCCCTCTCTGCCCACTTGTGATCTCAAATAAATAAATAAAATCTTTTAAAAAAAATCATGAGATGAGAAGTTAGACTAGAGAGCTAAAGTAAGCAAACTGAGATGCAAAGCATCACCAATAAATTCAATGAATACATTACAAGTGCCCTGGGAGTCCTGGTGACACCTGGGAGGCAAGCAGCGGAAGAGATCAGAAAGAAGACGGAGTTCGTGGCATGGAAAAAGCAGTGAAAAAATACCAGTGAATGCAAGATAAAAAGGTGAAAGAACATAGGGAGAGGGGCGCCTGAGTGGCTCAGGCAGTTAAATGTCTGCCTTCAGCTCAGGTCATGACCTTGAGATCCTGGGATAGAGTCCCACATCATCATCATCATCATCACCAGCATCCTTGGGCTCCCTGATCAGAGGGGAGCCTGTTTCTACTTCTCCCTCTACCCCTCTCCCTCTGCCCTTCTCCCCTGCTCAAGCTCACTCTCTCTGTCTCTCTCTCTCTAATAAATAAGTAAAATCATAAAAGAAGAAGAAGATGACGACGACGATGGCAGGGAAGAAAGGAAAACACAATCAAACTTATGGATAAGAGGCAACCATAAAACTGATACTGAGATATATATTTAACAGAAACAGAAATCCAAGCCAATTTCCCAGAAATGAAGAAGAACTAAATCTGCAGATAAAAAAGACATTCCAGGGACACCTGGCTGCCTCAGTCAGTGGAACATGAGACTCTCGGTCTTGGGGTCGTGGGTTCAAGCCCCATGTTGGGTACAGAGATTACTTAAATAACTAAAAACTTGAAAAGGGAGAGACAGAGAGAAGGCCTTCCAGGTACTAGGAAGAATTCTTTCCAAACAATTAATATCAAGGCATATTCTTGTAAATTTTTGAGCCCTGAGGATAAGGATAGTGTTATGCTTGCAGTCTCCTACAAAGGGGAAAAACGAAGACAGATAGCAGACCACTCCACAGCAATATTCAGCAAAGAAGACAACACACCAATGCCTACAAAGTCCTAAAGAAAATTTCCAGGAATAATGATATACAAAGTTGTCATTCGGGCATAAAGGCAAGAAACATTCTCAAATATGAAAGAATCCCCTGAAGGATGCGCAAAGATGAGTCTTTCATCAAAAATCCACAGGTCAGTGAAATCCAACAAACCAAGCAATAAATCAAAATGAAAAATTCAGAAACAGAGAAGTTGTCGTCAATGTACTCCTAGTGCACAACGAATAAACTTAAATAGCAAAGTAACGCTAACAGGCCAGGGGACTGAGTCTTATTTTAAAGAATATAAACATCATAGGCAATAACAAAGTAAAAAGGAAAAAAAAAAGTAAGTCAGTAATAAAGGTCAGGAAGAGGTCACGGAAGCAGTAAGCTAATTACTTCATTTTTCATTACAGGAAGCCGACCTGCTCTATCCCATCCAAAAACTGAAACAAGCAGAACCTGATTTTACCACAAGAGACAGTCCCTCCTTTAATGATTTCCAACTGCTTCTTGATTTTCATAATCTCTTCTTCATTTTAGAGGGGTTTATTTTTAGAAACTGTTCTCTTGTGATTGTTATATTTTCATTTTCGTCTCTTCCTCCTCTGATACATTTGAATAAAATCAAATATAATCACTTGAACATCATAAACAGTAAGAGCCCATCCTCTTAAAAATCCCTTTTCTCAGGGTGCCTGGGTGGCTCAGTCGGTTGAGTGGCTGCCTTCAGTACAGGTCATGATCTTGGGTCCTGGGATGGAGACCCATCTTGAGCTCCCTGCTCAGTGGGGGGTCTGCTACTCCCTCCCCCTCTGCCCATCCCTACCTCTCACGTGTGTATGTATGTATGTTGTATGTGTGTGCTCTCTCTCTCTCTCGCAAATAAATAAATAAGATCTTTTTTTAAAAATCCCTTTTCTCGGGGCGCCTGGGTGGCTCAGTGGGTTAAAGCCTCTGCCTTCGGCTCAGGTCATGGTCCCAGGGTCCTGGGATCCAGCCCCACGTCGGGCTCTCTGCTCAGCGGGGAGCCTGCTTCCTCCTCTCTCTCTGCCTGTCTCTCTACCTACTTGTGATCTCTATCTGTCAAATGAATAAATTAAAAAAAAATCCCTTTTCTCTATGTATGTATAGGCTGTCTGGCTGCAAACCTTCCCATTCTTCTTCCCTCTATATAGAGATACACAGAAGCGTCAGTCAGACACCCAAGGAAGGGGAAGGAGAAGGAGCAGAGCTGGCTTTCTTCCTCACACTTCTGTATTGCTTGAAAGTTTTATAATGAATGCCTATAACTTTCATTTAATACAATGCAGTCATTAATTTTAAACGTAAAGATATGCCAGAGAAATACTAGTGTAGACAAAAAAGAATGGCAATATTGATATCAAACAAAAATGGAATTAAGGAAAATACATGGTAAGGACCAAAGAGGTATATTTCATGCTGATGAAAGGTCCAACCCACCAAGAAAGCACAGTATTCATGAACATTGTACCTAAAAATATAGCTTTGATATATAGAGAGCAAAAATAAATAGAACACAATGAAAATCTGGTAAAAAAGAAGCATAGGGGAGATGGATTTTATACATTTAACTCAGACATCAACCATTTGGAAGGTGACAAAAATAGATAAGAATGAAAAAAAAAAAAGAATGCATATTATTTCAGGGGACCTACCTGGCTCAGTCAATAGAGCATGTGACTCTTGATCTCAATGTCATGAGTTAAAGCCCCACACTGGGTGTGGAGACTCCTTGAATAAACTATTTTTTTTAAAGATTTTAATTATTTATTTGACAGAGAGAGCACAAGCAGGCAGAGTGGCAGGCAGAGGGAGAGGGAGAAGCAGACTCCCTGCTGAGCAGAGAACCTGATGTGGGGCTCGATCCCAGAACCCTGGGATCATGACCTGAGCCGAAGGCAGCTGCTTAACTGACTGAGCCACCCAGGTGCCCCACCTTGAATAAACTTAAAAAATTATTTTAAAAGAACACATATTTAAAAAAAAAAAAAGAACACATCTTATTTAAACAACACAATTAACAAGCCTGATCTAATAGGTATATAGAGAATTTTGTACCTAACCAACAGAACATCCATTTTTTTTCCCAAACACACTAAACATGCTTTTAAAATATGTACATTTGGGGTGCCTGGGTGGCTCAGTGGGTTAAGCCTCTGCCTTCGGCTCAGGTCCTGATTTTGGGGGTCCTGGGATCGAGCCCCACATAGGGCTCTCTGCTCAGCGGGGAGTCTGCTTCCTACCCCCTCTCTCTGCCTGCCTCTCTGCCTACTTGTGATCTGTCAAATAAATAAATAGAATCTTTAAAAAAATAAAATAAGGTAAAATGAAATGTGAACGTTTATTAGGGTACAAGAAATCTCCACAAATTTCCCAGTCCCACACCACAAAAAACCCACACAAAACAAAACACCAGAGAGCACATAAACCACAACCATAATAAATTAACAATGAAAGTGCTATGGGAAGCTTTCTCCTGGAAGCACTTGTGGTCTTAGGTGAATAACAGTTCTGGGTGTCAGACAGCTCAAACTCCTGATCTGCCCCTTACCAGACTTTTCTAACTTTGGAAAGGCCCTTAACCTCCCTAAACCTGGGTTTCTTCACTGTAAAGCAGAGATAAGAAAAGAATTTTCCCCAGGGGCCTGGCTGGCTCAGTCTGTAGAACATGAGACTCTTCATCTCAGGGTCATAGGTTGGAGCCCCAACCTATGCATAGAGACTACATTAAAAAAGTAGCGGGGGGGATCTCCTAGAGGTCGTAGTCCGTCTAAAAACAGATGCAAGAGTGCCTGGGTGGCTCAGTTGGTAAAGCGACTGCCTTCAGCTCAGGTCATGATATTGGAATCTTGGGAACCAGTCCCACATCCCACTCCCAGCTCCATGGGGAGTCTGCTTCTCCCTCTGTCCTCCCCTCTCATGCTCTCTCACTCTGTCTCTCTCTTTCTCAAATAAATAAATAAAATCTTAAAAAAAAAAAACGGATGCAAAACATCATGGCTGATATCAATTCACAAATACAGAGGGGTAAACTGAGGCACCAGGGGGCCAACTCAGAGTCCAGCCGGGCACCAAATGTGGTTGCTCCCCACCTTCTCTGCCTACAACCCAGAGGGCTCCCTCTCCCCGGAAGCTGCCCCTGCGGGGGAGAACAGGGCCCTTACCTCCAGAACAGGTCACGCAGGCCTTGCAGCGGCCGTCCCTGTCCAGGTAGTAGTCGGGAGCACACTGCTTCCTGCAGTCGGATGACCCCTGTGCGCACGGCTGCTGCGAGGTGTGCCCTGGGGAAGGAAGCAGAGAAGCTCCAGGGCGAGCCGCCTTGGCGAAGACCTCACCTCCCTAGACTTTACCTCTCGTCCCTGAAGCCCTTCCCAGCTCCACCCTTCAACCCACCAAACATGGTCGTCCAGCTCTCGGGTTCTACGTGGACGCATTGCGGGGGAGAGGGCAGACCTCGCCTAAGCTCAGCGAGCAGGCGGGCGAAGCAGCCCGGCTTGGGTGGAAGAGCTGGGCCCGGGGGTTCCCACTGCGTGGCTTGGGCCAGTTCCAGTGACTCATGGGCACCATGAGATTAGCAGGATCCCCCGTTCGGGCTGTTGAACGGGGTAAAGGGATGGTGAAAATAAGCAGGTGTGCTTGGCGCACAGCAAGCTCCAGAGGGCACCGGCGGCGGTCATTCGGGCAGGAGCCCTGCTTCCCTGCAGGAACTGGGGAGCCCGGAGTCCCTAGACCCTGCGGAGCCTCAGCCAGCCTGACTGAGATGCGCGCAGATCAGCCAGCAGCCCCCGAGTCCCATTACACACGGACGGGAGGTGCACGGCGTCGACACCGACTCCATGCGGCAAAACGGTAGAGCGCCTTCGCCTGCCCCCCCAGCTCTGGGTCCAGTGACAGTCCTAGCCGGGATGCCTACCACCCACAGCTTGAGCCCGTATGGGCACGTGAGCCAGATAAGCCAATCAGAATACCTCATCCTTCAGGGTGGGCACATGACCCCAAATAGGCCAATCAGAATACCTCGTCCTTCAGGGTGGGCACATGACCCAGACAAGCCAATCAGTATACATCCTCCTCACCACTCTGCTTCAGAGACACGTGAGCCCTGTCCGCCAGGGAGCCTCATCTCTGAGAGTTTCACAAAAGCTACCAGTGAAGACCGCTTCTCTTTATGGTTGGATTCCTGGGGCAAAGGGCAGTTGAAGTCCCCAGCTGCCGGGTCGTGGCAGGCGCAGCGTGGCCACAGCCTGCCTGAGAAGGAGGTGATTTAGACGCAAGCAGAGTCCAGGACGGAGAGAAATGGACCCCTAAGAGCGTCCAACCTGGACTGATGGCGTCCCCGTCTTCTCTGTGTTCAAGCCAGATCTTTCTCTACCCTCACTCTGTTCGGACGAAAGTAAGTTAGGCTGAACCATAGGTCCTCAACATTCCTTGTGCCGCCTAGTCATTCTGGGGAAGCGGAGGACCCCGCTGGGAATCGTGTTTCTAAAGTGCATAAAGTACAGTACATGGGATGACCCAGAAACCTAGCTGTGTGAGAGCACCGTTAACAAAGCATTAAATTATTTAAGTGATGGGGCACTTGGGTGACTCAGGGGGGTGAGCCTCTGCCTTCAGCTCAGGTCATGATCTCAGGGTCCTGGGATCGAGCCCCGCATCAGGCTCCCTGCTCAGCAGGGAGCCTGCTTCCTCTCCCCTCCCCCGCCTGCCTCTCTGCCTGCTTGTGATCTCTCTCTCTGTGTCAAATAAATAAAATCTTAAAATAATAATTTATGTGATGGCGATATCTGTGATTCTTTGTAAACTCATTACATAAAAATCTAATGAATATCATTGTTTCAACATAGCCGATGAGCATGAATAATGTTCCGTGATATCCGTGGCAACTGTGGTATCACTGCAAGGTATCAGGAGAATATCTGACTTATACTGCGGGGAAAGCTGCAGACACTACAAGAACGTTACTGTGCTTTGTTGTCTTAATCCACAAGGGAAGGAAGCATCAGAGGCTGATGAAAAGGAGTGAACTCATTCAGGTCTAGGCCCCCCTGAAATCTACCCATGGACAACTTGGGAGTCCCTGGACCTCAAGGTAAGCCCCTGCTTAGAAAAATATGTGAGAACCTCTCAGAAATACAAGCTTGATGGCTGGCATCCTCTAGCTCAGAAAATTTCTGTAGCTCCCCAGTGGTCTTTCAGAGAGGTAAATGTGACCCCATCACCTCTTGCCTAAAACTTTCAAAGCCATCTCATGGCTCCCCGGATAGAGCCCTAGGTCCTTACCGTGGTTAAGGAGGTTCTGCCCACCTACAACTCCCTTACTGTCTAATCTTAAGCCACACTGGAATCTCATGTCCCCCAAAGGGGTCATGCTCCCTTCTGCCCCCAGGGCCTTTGCACAAGCTGGCCCTTTGCCACAAATGTGCCTCTCCCATTTCCCCTGGTAAACCCTTGCTCAGCCTTCACATCATTGTCAGGGTGTCACTCTGCCAGCAACTTGGTCAAGACCCCTGTTATAAACTGTCAGAGATCCACGTACCTTGCCCTCCTATGCCTAAGTCTGCTGTAATCTTTTTTTTTTTTTAAAGATTTTTTATTTATTTATTTGACAGAGAGAGATCACAAGCAGGCAGAGAGGCAGGCAGAGAGAGAGGAGGAAGCAGGCTCCCTGCTGAGCAGAGAGCCCGATGCGGGGCTCGATCCCAGGACCCTGAGATCATGACCTGAGCCGAAGGCAGCAGCTTAACCCACTGAGCCACCCAGGCGCCCCAAGTCTGCTGTAATCTAATCTAGATGTGTAATCACACTTATTTGTGGGATACATTGTCTTAGTATCTGAATTCCTCCCATGACTGTGAGCTCCTCAAGGTTGAATCTTTGCCTTTCTGCCCCCCAGTGGTTCCCCTCTCACAGGGCCTGATGCATAGATCTGATCGATACGTGCTCTGACCACCTAATCAATATGGACCCACCCTCTCATTCTCAGGCCTCCCTCTGGCTCTGATTCCTGCTTTGGCATTACTGTATATGGCTCCCTTCATGGGCTCTAAGCTGCAGCCACCACTAGGTACCTTGGTCTTTTCTCTGGCACCCCTCCTATGTCCTGGAATGTTGTAATGGGTTGAATTATGTCCCCTGAAAGAGACACGCTGAAACCCTAACTCCTGGTATCTCAGAATGTGATCTTATTTGAAGACAGGATCCGTACAGAGGTAATTAAATTAAAATGCAGTCATTGGGGTGGGCCCTAATCCAAGATGATAAAAAGGGGGGAAATCTGGATACAAGACACATGTGCACTTGGGAACACAGCCAGATGAAGACTGGACTCATGCTGCCACCAGCCAAGGAACTACCAGAAGCTGGGAGACAGGCAAGAACCTTCCCCAGAGGCTTCAGAGGGAGCATGGCCGGGCCAGCACATTGATCTTGGACTTCTAGCCTCTGGAACCATTAGATAACCCATTTCTGTTGTGTCCATCTATCAGTTCATGGTACTTTGTTGATGGCAGCCCTAGGGAATGAATACAAATGTTCTTCGCCCAGGCTGACGAATCTATCCATCTCCATTTCTACCCACTGGGGATCCCTCTGAAGCCAACCAGCTCAGGGTAAAACACCATCCCCTGGTGGAATTTTCCTTATCTTCTGACCCCATCCAGTACCCCTCTCTAGATCCCTTTAAAATCACCTCTCAGCGCCAGGGGTTGTTTGGGGCGAACTCTAGAAATGCCCCCTGCTCCAGAAAATGTATTCAAGAATTCAAGTGACTCACTTCCTGGTGGGATTCTATTTTCACTCAACTCAACATTTATTGACCATCACCTCTGTGCCAGCCACTGAACTTAGAAAGTGGAGAAGGTGAGATCCCTACTCCCATAGAGCTTATCCTCGAGCCTAGAGGAGGAGAGGCAAGCAAGTACAGAAAGAAATTGGCAAGTCAGTTTCCAGTGTGTGAACAAACTTGGAAGAAAATAAAGCAGGAACCAGAAGAGAAGGCAGAGGAAGAGGCAGGAGAGCTCCAGAGAGAGGGATCAGGGAGGCCTTCCTGAGTCCCCGAGGACCGAAAGAGGCAGCTGCACAGAGGGTGTGGGAAGATCGCTCCAGGCAGAAGGAACCAACTGTGCAAAGGCCCTGGGCACAGAACAGGACATGCCAAGAACAGAAAGTCCATGGGGGCTGGAGCAGACGGAGCCAAAGAATTATGAGCCCTGGTTCATTTCTATTTTCTTCTTTGCCCATTTTCCACACAGATTTTCTGCACTGAATCACTTTCAAAATCAGAAACAAAAACGGCGGAGAAAGGCTCAGGGCCTGCAGAGGCTGTGCTAGAATGGGTCCCTCTGTAGTGATCTGTCTCCAGCCACTCCCCCTCCATCTCAGGGTGCTTTGCTGACTCCAGATGTTCTCAAAGTTTGTGCTAACATTCCCGCACCCCCTCTCACCTCTGGCGCAGCATCAGGCAACCAGGCCCCCAGCTGCTTTGGCCAAAGAAACTCACACTGAGAACTGCTCTGCGCTTGGTCCGGCTTCCAGCCCCTCCTCCGCTCCCCCTACATACCCTGGGCTCCGCCTTCTGCCAAATGGAGCCCTCCCAATTCTCCAGCGGTCCATCCTGCTCCCCTAGAGGCCTTTGTGTATTCTGTGCCTCTGCCCTGAGCACGCCCCCTCCCCACCTTGGCCCGGCCAACCCCTGCTCATTCCCAGGACTCCTTTTCCTCAAGGAAGACCCCTCAGTCAGGTCACATGCCCTGGGAGTGTGTTCCCATGGCTGCAAGCAGCACCACCCCAAATTCTAACAGCCTGGGGCAATAGACACATTTTGGAAGGGCTTCCTAGCCCACAGGCTGCCCTTCTTGGAGAATTGTCCTCTCCCTCAAGCAGTGGCCCAGGGCCAGGGGGAACCAGAGCAGAGATGGACATCTGTACCATTGGATGCTTTCTTCTTGGGCTTTGGAATTGGAACTGGAAGATGTTGGTCATGTGTCCCTCTTGGTGAACGAGGGAGAACAGACTGGGAAGGGAACTGTGGGCCTTCCAAGCTTGACCAAGGGCCGGAAGGCCAAGGAGGCTTCCTCCTCCTCCTTCCTGCTCATAGCCCTTGGAGAATCCCCTCTGCTCCTGGGACATGATGGGGTACACTCACACAGCCCCAAGCAAGCCATGCTCTCTGTATAACATGGGACCTGGTTTCACGATGTCCCCCCACGCCCACAAGAGGCAGGCTTCACACATCTGCAGGATCCCCTCCTCCCACTCTGGGCACTAAGGAGAAGGTGATCCAGGAAGGAAGGGGCAGAATAGGAGGGGGTTTGTAGCCCCCACAGGGGCTCCTTGCTGACATGCTCTGTCTTGGGGGTCAGCACCAGCTAAGGGGAAAGAGCTCAGGTTTCTGAGTTAGCCACACTCAAACTTTCTGAGATAGCCAGTAGGGGCTCCAATAAGGCCCCCGCAGGCTACTTACTAGCATATGACCGTGGGAAAATCTCTGAACCAAGTCCAAGTTTCCTCTCTGGGTTTCCTTTCAGGATTCAGTAAGCTAATGCAGGTGAAGGGCTGGCGTTGTGGCCAGCACAAAGCATGCTCCATCGGCAATAATTGTTGTCCTTGTTATGAAACAGTGAGTGAGCTCCCCGTCACTGAGGGTTTGTAAGCAGAGGACTGGGGAGCAGCTGTCAAGGATGCTACAAAGGGCATCAGAGGCTGGGTGAGAGGAGAGACTCATTGACATCAAAACTTCTCAGTCTCAAAGGTCTCCCAGTTTCCTTCCTCCAGCAACCCACCTCCGGCCAACACTGCCACACAGCTCAGCTGAGCCTGATTGCACAGGAGGCAAAATGTCAGAAATTTCCCCCAGAGACCGAGGAAGGGGTTTTTGTGGGTTTTTCTCTTTTCCTCTTGCTTGCCGGAAGCACCAGGTCAATAAAACTCCAGCAAAATGCCCCGCCCACCACACCAGCAAGAGGCGCCCAGCCACCCCCGGTCACAGGGCCACAGAGAGAGAACGTGGGGGGACGGCAGCCCTCTCTTCCCAAGTCACAGCATTGAAGTGGAGGGCACTGGGGACGCAGATGTCACTCTGTCTCTGCCCACTACACCCTGTGGGGACCGTGCCAGGCAGGGGTGAAGGAAGCCGGAGGGAGTGGGAAGGAAGTGTCTGTCTTTCTTCCTGCAGCTGGAATTATGGGTCCCGTGGAAAGTCACAGAGCCCTGCGCTGCAGTTGTCCTGACTGCTGTTGTCCCGGGGAGAAGCAGCGTGCCCCCTGCCACACGGCCCTGGGCTGGTGAGGGAAGGCTTCCTGGAGGAGGCAGTACCGGGACTGCAGGAGGTGGTGGCGGTGGGAGAGGGCATCCCAGGGCAGACAGGCAAGTCAAAGGCCCAGAGACTTGAAAGCACAGAAGAAAGGCCAAGGGGAAAAAGGTGGAAAAGCTGACAAGTGACCTCATGATTAGTCGAAGCAATAAAGGGTTGTTGGATGGGTGGGCAGAAGAGCACACGGAAGTGGGACGGGAGGAGTGGGTGGGTGGATGGCGCCGCATGGGAGTGGGATGGTGCTGTGGCCCAACTGTGCCCCCCTCCAATCCACATGCTGAAGCCCTAACCCCCAGTGTGACTTTATTTGGAGACAGGGTCTTCAGGAGGTAATTAAGGACAAATGCGGTCATGAGAGTGGAGCTCTGATCCGACAGGATTGGTGGTCCTTACAAGAGAAAAAGGAAAATGTATCTCTTTTCTTGCTTTCTCTCCCTCTTTCTTCCCCACTCCTCTCTCTCCTTCAGCTGTGACAAGGGAGCTGTCTGCAAGCCAAGGAGAGGAGACTTTACAGCAGAAGCCCTGCTGGAAACTTGATCTTGGACTTTCTGGCTTCCAGAATGGTCTGGAAACAAATGTCCATTGTGAACGTGCCCCACCCCCACACCCCACGCCCACTCCCCATCTGTGGTGTTTTGTTATGGCAGCAAGAGCAGCCTGAGCTAGATGGGGGCATGAGTAGGGGACGGGTGGCAGAAGGAATGGGGAGGGGGTGAAGGACATAGGACGGGGGAGGGGTGGGCAGGTAAGAGAGTGGGTGAAGGGTTAGGCGGGGAATGGGCAGGCTTATGGGGAGTTGGTGGGGGGCTGGCCAGTCAGGCACAGGAGTCCCAGGCACTAAGGGAAACACAGGCCCCCACCTCATATGTACCTCAAAACCCACACTAACCCATAAAATAAAGGTGAGAAAATCCAATAAAGTTCTACTCTTTTCCCTACCATGACAACTTTGAAACATTTTTGGAAATAGAAAATATCCAATTCTTTTCCAAAATCTTGTTCTGGGTCCTTGCGGGGTGGGGGGTGCTGAGCTTGGGCTCGGTCCACCCTTGCGGTGGAGCAGAAAGGCTGTAGGTCTAGGGACAGACTGGGGTTCCCGTCCGGCTCAGGCCACTTGCCCTGGATGATTTTGTGCACCATGGCCGGGAGCCACCCTCCAGACAGCAAAGCTGGCAGGCTGAGAGGATGGGTAGGTGAGCTCCTACCTATCCCGAAAGTCACCCCCTACTTCCAGTGGCCTCCTGTCCTCCAAGCACGAGGCAGTCCTCACGCCCTCCACAGCCAGAATTAGCATCTTTCCCACTCAAGTCTGCACCCAAGATCAGAGACCATAGTTCAGCTCTAGCTTGTGTCCCACCCAGCCAAGGCCACTGGAAATGCCTTGGGAATTTTGGTAACAACCACAAGGATGACACTGGCTCACCACCCCGTTCTGGCCGCTCGCCTCTTCGGGCCAGAGCTGCCCCAGTCCGGTGAGCGTGGGCAAGCTGATAATCTACTCAGAGCCAGTCATGGTGCTGGCGCGGGGTGAGCCTCCCAGGAATGGGTGCGAGCAGGGAGCCTGGTTCCAGAGAGATTTAGGGTTCCGCTGGCCCAGAGATAAATGCGCATTCCGGGCTGGAAAAGATGAGGACCGCAAAAGGCTTCCAAACTCAGAAATGAGGGGCAGTCTGGGGGTGTTGAGAGCCCAGGTTCCAGGGTCACAGAACCCTGGGTTCCACACCTCCCGCCCGCCAGCTCCCCCATTTCCCAGCTCTGTGACCTTGGGCCAGCTACCTAAGCTTACAGCACCCTCGACAGCCTCGTCTACAAAATGGGATTAATAAAGGATACTGAGGAGCTCGTGCAATGCTTCTGAGGCTCTCAGACCGGCGTGCATATGGTAAGGGTTCATAAGGGGTCAGCCAGGAACTAAGAGCAAAAGCTTCAGAAATCTAGACCCAACGTGACGATGACAACTTGGGCTTTCCTCTTGCCCATTCACCAATCACCCCGGAGTTTTATACCTTGAGGACAAAAATCCTCCCCCCCACCCCGGTCCCTCCTCAGCACCCCCACTCACCCTCGGGGCAGCGGTAACAGCACCTCCCAGTAGTCTGGTCGTAGGAGTGGTTGGGGCCTTCCTTGCAGGCGTTCCTCTGAACTCCATCCTGAGGATGGGATACATTGGTGAGACCAGGCTGGTCCCAGACACACATCCCTCCTGCCCTTCGGATCCCAGGAGGCCGGGTCTCCACTCACTGTCAGCACCGGGCCTGAGACAGAGCCTCAAGTTTTAGAAGAGAATCAGGACAGGAACACCTGATCTCACACCTGCCTCCGACCCGCTCCCTTGGGAGGGGGGAGTGTGATGGCAACTCTAGCCTTCCAGAACTCAGCCCAAAACCTGGGCTCTGCCCTCTCCTCTCATGCTCACATCCAACCCATCAGCAAACTCTCTTGGCCTCTTTGGACCAATGTTCTCCCCGCCCCAACCTCCTCCACCTGGTCCCGGTCCCCATCCTCTCTCCCCTGGATTAGTTAATTCAGTTGCCTCCTACCTGGCCTCTGGCATGGACCCAGCAATATAGCAAATCTGTTTGTTGTGGTCTAACATGCTCTACAGGAAAGTGCACACATCTCAGGGACATACCCACTGAATTTTTCCAGTGTGACCATGTCTCACAGCTGGCACCCAGATCAAGAACCAGGACATTGCCGGCACCTGGCACCCTCCCTCGTGCCCTTTTCCATGAACTACATGCAAAAGGCACCCGCTAACCCAACTTCTTCACCATAGACTGGTCTTGTTCAGCTTTTGAGTTTCAAGTGGATAGAATGATCTCTGTTCTCTTGCAACTGGCTTCTTTAACTCAACATTACATTGTGAGAATCACCCGCTTTGCTGCAAATGGCAGTCGTTCGTTCAAGTTCATTGCTGCGTAGTGCTGCATCCCGCGAACGAATAGGCACAATTGATTTATCTAGTCTACTCTTGATGGACCTTAGTGTTGTTTCCACTCCTGATCATTATGAATAATGCCACTAGGAACAGCCTTATACATATATTTTGGTGCACAAATGTACACACTTCTACTGGACTCCACCCCGGGGGTGGGGGCGGGAATTGCTTGGTCATAAAGTGTGGTATGTTCAGCTTTGATAGAATCCCCATCGTTTTCTAAACTGACTCTTCACTGCAGTGTGTAAGTGTTCCAATCGTTCCCCATCCTTGTCAACATTTGGTAGAGTCAGTTTTAAAAATTTTAGCCATGGTGCTGAGTGTGCAACGGCCTTACATTGTATCCTTTATGTTGCATTTCTCAGGGGCCTAACGATGTTGGGTATCTTTTCACATGTTTGTTAGCCTTCTGGATATTGTCTTTTATAAGATACTCATTCAGGTCTTCTTATTTTTTTTTTTTAATTGGATTGTCTGACTTTTCTTATTGTTGTGTGAGAACTCTTTATATATTCTGGATATAAATCCTTTGGTAAATAAATGAATGGTAAATATCTTCTCCCCTTCTGTGGCTTGCCTTTTCACTTTCTTAAGGGATCTTCCCCTTTTTTGAGATTTTATTTATTTTGTTTCAGAAAGAGAGAGAGAGAAAGAGCATGTCAGTCCAGGGAGGGGTAGAGGGAGAGGGAAAAGGAGAAAATTCCAAGCAGACTCCACACAGAGCATGGAGCCTGATGCAGGGCTTGATCCTAAGACCCTGAGATCATGACCTCAGATGAACCAAGAGTCAGATGCTCAACTGATGAGCCACCCCAGGCACCACTCTTAAGGGAGACTTTTTTTAAATTAGTTTATTTTTTAAGATTATTTATTTAAGAGAGAGCAAGTGAGAGAGAGAAAGAGAGGGAGAGGGGCAGAAGGAGAGGGAGAAGCAGACACCCCACTGAGCATGGAGCCCAATATGGGACTCATCCAGGGACCCTGGGATCATGACCTGAGTGGAAGGCAGACGCTTAATGAACTGAGCCACCCAGGCACCCAGGGAGCCTTTTGATGAACGGAAGTTCTTAGTTTTAATGAGGGACAACTTACTCATCTTTTCTTTCATAGTCAATGTCCTTTACAAAAAATACTTGCAAGCCCAATGTCATTCAGATGCTCTCCCACATTACCTGCTCAATGATATCCCTTAACCTTCCTTGTCAGGTTTCATTTTGGCGCATGGTGTAAAGTAGGGGTCAACACTCACTTTTTTCAGGAATACACATTTTAACAAGTTCCCGCATAGGCTTCCAGGGCTCTTTAAAAGTTAAGTCCCTTTGTCAGAGGGAGCTTAAGAGAAGAAAATCTCTGCTGACATCCTGGGGGAGGAACTTTGTCCTTCTGGTGGAATGAAAGGGGAGCACGGGGTACCTGGGTGGCTCAGTCAGTTAAGCGCCTGCCTTCAGCTCAGGTCACGATCCCGGGGTGCTGAGATCAAGTCCTGCATAGGGCTCCTGGCTCAGCAGGGAGCCCCTCTACCTCTACCACTTCTGCCTGCTCATGCTCTCTCTCTCTCCCTCTCAAATAAATAAAATGAAAGAAAGAAAGAAAGAAAGAGGAACATAAAGCAGGTTTCTAGGCTCCAGGTAGGGAGACGAGAGGGAGAGGTGAGAGGGAAGGAGGGAGCTATGTCCCACCTCTATATCAGCAGCCTCCCGGGCAGGCGGTGCTTGGCAGAGCCCAGGTGGCCACTTGTAGGATGGATGAGATGAATGGGCTTTCTTGGTTTGGGGAGAAAACAGAAGCCATCTCCTAACCCTCCCCGCATAGGGGAGATGCCTGGCTGGTCTGAGGGGCTTCTCTACTCTTCTCTCCAGCCAAGGGAACAGTGAACACTAATGAATGAGTACTTCCATCATGTCAGAGAGCAGGAGAAGGCCAGTGTGGCTGGAAGATGGATGTGTAGAGTCTTGATTACATTATCCTTTTTTTTTTCTTTTTGCGCATCTGAAATGTTACCATATAAATGGGAAATCAACGTAACCTGACATTTGCGCCCCACCAGTCCCGTGGCACTTGTGTACCTCCTTTCTCACTTAATCCAGAGCCCCAGGACTTGAGGCCACAACTTGAGGACACTCTCTTTACCCACCCACACCCAGTCCCCTCCCTCCAGCAGGATCTCCTTCTTCTCCTGTAAACTGGGGAGCTTCTGGGAGCCTCGCTAGGGACAGAGACCTGCCTGACCCCCAACATTTAACCAAGTGAGCTTGGATGCCTACAGGTGGAGCTGGGTGGGGGTGCAAACGTTCAGGCCTGCTGAGTGTGGGGAAAATTCTGGGTCGCTGGCCTGGGTTTTCCCCTTCTGGCTGCCCACTCATCTCATTGACAATTATGGACTCTGAGGAGGCTGTAGGTCCAGGCCCTGCTCTCTCTCTCCAGGGTCTGGGGCGGGGGGAGGGGTGCAGCTGACAGGAGGCTGAATTCTTACACTTCACTTCCTGCCACCACATCCTGAGTCAGTGGGGGACGGTGGAAGGTACAGAAAAGAATAGGTAATCCATGGTATTGCCTGTTACGCCCCCCACCCCAGTCACACATCTCCTCCTTTATGGCACTGTCAGCCCTCTGGGGCCAGATCACCCCTCCCCCATGATAACAGATGAGGAAACTGCAGCTCAGAGAGGCTCAGTCACCCACCCGAGGTCACACAGCAACTAAGCGCCGAGAGGATATTTGTGCTTCACTGTGTCCCCAGTTCTCTCCCCCTCTCTGGGCCACAGGCTGCCCATCTAAAGTAAAAACAGTCTATTGTGCTGAGAAGGACACGGTATCACATCTGTGGTCTTTCTACCAGAAGTCCATAATCTGAATCAAATCATGGGGACACAGCAAATAAACCCAAACTAAGGGGCTTTCTACAAAACAACTGGCCTGGACTCTTTGTGTAAAAGAGAAAGAAGAGCTATGGAATGTTCCAGAATAGAGAGACTAATGAGACAGTGTGGCTGAATGTGATGTCTGGAATGGATTCTGAATCTTGAGTGGGGCTATAAAAGAGAACATTGACATAGATGGTGACATTTGAATTTGGACTTTATATTTGATTCTGTGTTCTTTATGTCTACATGAAAGGAGAGAGAAAGATAAAGCAATTGTACAAAACCACACCTGCCAGTAACAGGTGCTCAAAGAGATGGCAACAATTTTCACAATAAACCCTGTCAATCCAAGGCTGCCACCAGGGGGCGCTGTCTTCTCGCGGTCCCCAGGGGCGCTGGGCCCTCAGCCTGGATGCCCTGGAAGGAGAGTGGGGGCTTCGTTCTCATGTGGGGCTTGTGGGGGAAGAGGGACAGAGGCTGAGTCCAGGTGGAGGCACAACTCAGCGCCATCCCCCAGCATCCACCGAAGATGCCCTCAGACCACTGTGGCTGGCCTTCTCCCACAGACAGTGGGGAATTTTTTTGCCCATGACGTCATGCATGGTTTTACAGGCGCCCAGAAAATGGGGCCAGAGCAGTGCACACGTGCTGTAGAAGTCACAACAACAGTTGTTGAACCCAACAGTCCTGAGAGACCCTACTTACTACCCCAGAAACTGATCTCGGAGCGGAGAAGGACCTGCCCAACATAGCACCTGGTGGCAAGCATGTGTCAGGCAGGATCTGAGTTGGGGTCAGGGGACTCCTGGCCACCCTGACCACTCCATGGGGGCGTTGAGCCCCTACTGCCCGTCAGAGAGCTGACCTGCTCCCCGGATACTCTCTAGGAGCTGCTGCTCCCGTAGGGGAGACAACCCCACCTTCCCATAAACTAGAGAGAGGTGGCATCTGGGGTCCTAAGCTTCACCTACGCAGCGCTGTGATGCCCAGAAGCTGGCCCAGTCTCACGCCCCAGAGCCTCACCTCTGGCCCTGCTCTTGCCTATTCCTCTGCAATCTCCCCGTTGGCCCCCAGGTTGCCCTGCACCACTGCCCATTCACAGAGGCCCTTCCCCTTCAGCCCTAGGGCAGCCCCAAGAAGGCTGAGCCCCCAGACACTGAGGCGCCGTCAATCTCCCCTGACCACCGGTCCAGACCCTGGATGGCCCATCAGTTCCTGCTACCCCTGGGGAACTGGCCTCGGCCTGGAAGAGAAGGGGCATCAGAAAGGAGAGAGTGGGAGGGGGAAGCCCAGGGACTGCAAGG